GTTAAGTTACTAAAGTTAAAAAACCCTATCTGTTATAATTAGGTTCATCAGGTTCAAAGCATGTATTCATGAGCATTCTTCTAAACCTATCTAGTTTTTTATAACAAGTGATAGAAGCAAGTATCTTATCTCATTAGAATTATCAGATAGTGAATTACAAAAGTACCTATTTTGTTTTGCTGTTAGAGAGATTGAATTTTTTCCTTATCTAATGATAATAAGAGGCGAAGAGAAGAAAAATATGTTCGTATTTAGTGGATCTTATTGTCATGGTACAGTGGAAAAGCATAATAACGTATTTGAAATCTGCATGACACAATGCATTATATAAATATATATAAATATAATATTGCTTTATTTAATTAATAAAATATGTGGCAAATCCTCACGCTTCTTTGCCATTGACGAACTTCGTCCCCGTGACAGAAAAAACCATACATATCTTGCTATGACAATAAGACGACGTATAGATAAGTTTAAATTTAGCCACAATAAACAGAAATTAGTACAAGACACGTACATATTAAATTATGAGATTTTATGAGGAGGAAACTTAAGATTGAAAAAAAGAGAGAGTAAAAGAAGATGCAATAATATAATGACAAATGGAACCTGGATGTCTCTCAATCAGACAATAAAAGTGCATAACAAACAAAGATGTAAGAGAAGAAGAGATTAGAAATTTTGAGGACAGTGATATTGACACAGTTAGAAACTAAGAACATAATCGAACAGAGAATATTTGTGATATTGAAATAAATTTAATATTTTCTTATTTGCTCTTCCCTTTTGTACGATTGATCTTTTTTCTTTCAGCAATAGTGGATTATTAAAGGTACTCATAGATATATAGCAAGTACATTTTATGCTGAAGAAAGTCGCACAACATCGCTGGATTCATTCTGAGGATGTTCATGTTGATTTTGTTGCAGTGTGCTTGTCTGAGCTTATCAATCGATTTATACTTAGAAAGATTTGAGATTTCGACGTTAGTGTTGCATCGTACTAATGATGAATAGTTCTAAACATTTTCCTATTCATTGCTTCGAGTTGGCTTTGTTTAGCCGTCGATAGAATTGGGAAAATGTTTAGAATTGATTGATAGTATGGCCTTATATAAGCATTGAATAGTCTATATTTCACAGCTTCATTTAACATTCTGTTTGATGAAAGATGTTTAATTGTTGTAAAATTTTTATGAATCTTAGCTTCTACATAGCTAAGATGTGAAATGAAAGAAAGTTTACAATTAAGAATAGTTCCAAGGTATTTAATCTTGTCACATGAAGTGACAGCATGTCCAGCACAATTGATGAAAGATGGTATGATGAGAACGACTTGACGATGAAATAACATCCAGAATGTTTTTTGAAAATTGATTGGTTGTTTCCAAGTCGTAGAATAGGAAATTAGAGCAATAATCACGTCTTTAATTTATTCGACGAGCTTAAGTATAAGTGCTTTAGATGGCCAGTTTGCAGAAGAACATATTAATGTCGCCAGATCATCAGCGAACAGGTGTTTCCAATGGAACATAAATATACTATTCAATATATCATTATAGTAAACTATGAATATGATTGGCCCTATGCATGATCCTTGAGGTACTCCTTTGTGTAGATAAAAAGTGCTAGAAGTTGTACCATTTATATCTATATATGCTGATCTTCCAGCTAGATAGTAGTACAGCCATGCTATCATGTATATAGAGCAATTTAAACGATGCAGTTTTAGAATGAACCCAGCAAACCACAGTTGGTTGAATGCTGATTTAAAGTCGACAAAAAGATCGGCTGTGGCCATGTTAAGTGATAGCGATTGTTCGATTTGATCAACGATCGAGACCAACCTTACTGCCATGTTATGTCCAGGGCGAAATCCTGTTTGTTCATCTGGAAGAATGCCGTTTTCATTTACCCATTGATAGAAATATCTAAGAAAAACTTTTTCATAAAGCTTTGAGAAACAAGGTAAAAGCGAAATCGGTTGTGTGTCGTTTATGTTTACAAAGTTTGTTTTATTTTTTGATAGTAAGACTATTTTCGCGGTTTTTCAATGAGATGGCACGCATAGGTGCGACATGAAGTAGTTGAATGAGGAACATATGAGTGCATGGTAATGTGTCGGTATCAGCTTGATTATCTTATTAGAGACGCCATCCAGACCAGAAGAGCTTTTGTTCTTTAACGACAAGATGGTTTTTCTGATTTAATGGAAGTTGATATTTGGAGCTATCAGATTATCTTGATTTATTTCTATTTCAAGTTGTTTGTCAATATGATCAGCTTCGACTTCTGTCGAAGCTAGTGTTTCTCGATGTTTGAAAAACTGTTCTTCATAAAATGATCTTGCAAGATGACACATTTCATTCGACGATGTAATAACCTGGTCGTTTGAATAGAGAAAGTCATTGATTTAGGAATTCATTACTGAGAAATGTCGTTTTGCTTTTCTCCAGAATTGCTTGACATCTTTCTCGTTTAGTGTATGGCAATACTCTTGCCAAGATAATCGTTTGTGTGCAAAGAGTTCTTTTCGTATTACGATTGAGTACGCTTTAGCTCTCTAATAAAGAAAGGATGTTTAGTTTTTCTTGCATATCTTAGTATAGTTTTATTCTATTGTATTAACTGGATTATATGAGTAGGAAGTGATGGTTTATATGCGCTGCAGTAGAATACATATGTGAGTCTTGATACCAGCAATGACAAAAAGTGTTCATAGGTGCTGAAGAGGTACAGATTGTCATCAGTTTTTGAATAGAGATTATTTCAATACGAAGAAGTAAAGGTTAAGAATAGTTTTACTAGTATCCAATATGTTCGATTTTCAGGATAAAGATAACCACGTTTTTGTAATTTTATAGACGGAGTCCATAAAACAGGAAAGTAATCATTTCCGATACATGGAAGTACAGAGTAAGACGATGTTGATGATATCATGTGTGCAGGAGCTAATATTAGACTAATAGTTGCGTTGGAACGAGTCGATGTGACTACATGTTTGTTGACAACTATAAGTTCATTTATTGACATCCAATTGAAAAACGTTTTGCCCTTATGATTTTCAATGGAATTGAACCAGGAGTAATGCTTTGTATTTAGGTCGCCAAGTAATATTGTATTTGAACTTCGTTTAAGTATTCTGTTAAATAGATCAATGGGTAAGCTTTCATTTGGTGGTGGATAGCATGTAGCCACTTGAAACTTATCGGACGATGTTTCTATGTTAACAACTACAACATTTAGTTGATTTTGAAACATATCGATTCTCTGGACGGGTATACAACGATTTATTGCTACTAAAACCCCTTCGAAGCTATTTGAATCTTTTTCCAAATAAACATTATCGTTACTAAAGTGCTTTGCGAAAATTTTAAGTGTTTCTTATTCATGATGAGTACCATTAAAAACTGCAATCGGACATGGCGTACTCTCCAATAATAGAAAAATATCAGGTAAATAATGTTTCAAACTACTAACATTCAGTAGCATTATCTTTATTTCACTTTTTCCATTCATCACTTTCGAAGTTATCTTTTTTCTCTCTTCCCAATTTTCTAACAATATTTTCAATGTTGGCGTGATTATTCATTCTAATATTAGCTCTTGAAATATCTGTGCATATTTTAATGATAAATTTTCAGTTGATATATGAAATGATTCTGTGCAATGATTTGGAAAAAATTCTTTAGAATTAGAATTCAGTGTTCATATAAGTAATGGTACTATTTGATGCAGCTGTCACATTAGTTGTGATTAGTGATTGTTGTAATGTCTTATTTAAATTGGAGAAGTTTAATAGTGATTGAATCGATTCTTGTTGGCTAAGAAAATCGATCAATTTGTTATATGAGAAATCAATTTGTCGCTTTTGTTGCAAGTTGATTTGCGCATATATTATTTGAGTTACTTCTTTTAGTAAAGAACAAATTACTTCACAAACAGTTTGATTGATTTTAATAATTTCCTTCTCTTGGCAATTTAATTGTCCAGTTTGTTCTTTTAGATAATTGTTGATATCGGCTTGTTGTTGTAATAAACTTTGTATGTTTCTATGAATTGTATCCACAATTTTTAACGATAGATTGTTGTCATTTAAATTATTATTTGATGTGAATGATGCGTTGTAGATGCATTTCCAAAAAGATGTTGTGCACTATTCCCTATCCATCTGTTTGTGTTAAATAAGTAAGGAGATGGTGCTACTGATTGTTTAGATTGACATTTCTTTAAGCCGCGAATTTCAATTTACTTTGGACAATTCGGATTGCCAGCAAGATAATTTCCATTACAATATACGCAACAAATTTATTTTGACATTCTGGATCATATTGATGTTGTTTACCGCATCTGAAACAGATTGGTTTGTCCTTATTGGGACAATGAGCCGCTACATGATCGTCATATTGTTGACAAGTATAGCACCTGAGTTCGCGTGGAGGTGCAACATAAGGTTCTATTGAATAGGACGTATTGCCATCATCAAGCAACATTCGTTTGTTTCGTAAGATTTCCGAAAGTTCCTTGTTGGAGGTGAAGTCAATTCGAATTTTTGGTATACAACGAGCGTTCCGAATGTATAGCTATTCGCAACGAATGCTTGTTTTATATTGCGATTTTAATTTCTCGCAAAAGTTTGATACATCCCATTGTGTTGGTACATTTAGCATGACGATTGAATACGACGAAGGAATTCTTTTTGGTGGATCTACTGCATATTCGCAGTCTCAGATCTTGTCGGATCATTTAGATTTATCTAATAGATATTTAAATTGTACTGATGTGTTACAATAAAGTAGGTAGCATTGGTTTGTTTTTGATGATGATATGCGTTCATAGGTGAGATTCAATTTACATTTTCTATTTAGTTCTTTTATTATTGCGACATCTTGTGATGGATATCGATCGTCTTTTATCATGATACGAAAGGGTGGAAAATGTTCACGCTGTTGTTGTTTTCTACTTGTTGATTTATAAATTTGTTTACGTGTCGATGACTCATATATTTCCTTTTTTAAATGTATGATTATTATTAAAATATGATAATGATGCTGCTGTTCCTTGCATGCTCAGTTTTTCTTTAGCAACATCCTTAATTTGTTCTGTTATTTGACGTTTAGGTGTACATGTGGAATTTGTTGCTAGATCTAAATCGTTCATCTCATTTCGTTTTTTACGATTTGGACGACGTACATATTGATTATCATCAAAGTCTTGTTCTTTGTTCGCTGTATTTCCTTGTTCCAACTGAAGATTGTCGTCATGATCTTCCAAGTTTCCATGATTAAAATCGATATTCATTAAGATTTCCTCTTGTGTACCCGTAATATGTAAATACTAGAGGTGTGTGAATGGTCGTGGATCGAAAGAAAAGAACAAAAATAGATTAAATGTGCCTTAACAGTAGAAAATGAAGGTAAGGAAAGCATGACAAAATGCATTGAATCATGTGTCTTTTAGTAAAATAGATTTGTGGTCCCTCTCAGATTTATGTCTCGAAAATTTTGCCTCTAATCCGTAAGGAATTGATTTTGCGCAGAAAAAAAAGATTCTTAAAACATGTAGTATTCGATGCATTTTTCATGCTGATTTCGAATATGCAGAAAAATAATATACATATGATGGTACAGCTCTTGTTGATAACGATGCTACACTTAATCGTATGGATGCCGACGTGCAAAGCTCTTATTATCAGTGTTACACAAAATTTAGTGTCTCAGCTCGTACCAAAACTGTAATTATAGTTGGGTTCTATTCAAATCTGAACTACATTGACGTATTTGGATATTTATTTACGTTTGAATTTGCGCTACTAGATGTTTATGACAAAACCTATGCATGGATTCATCATATATTATGACGTCAAACTGCAAACCAAGTTCATAGTGGATCCATTCATGCACATTTGACAGATCAATAAAAGTAACTATGGCAAACGAATGGAATTTTGTTTTTCATCGTTTTTAACAATTCAACATAATAAGTATTTTTCACTGCAATATATTTCACGAAAAAAATTATTATCGTTGAGTGGATAAAGTATGAAATGGAGTGGTAGTGAATGTCCAAGTACAATAATGAAACTATATTTGTTCTACGTATTGATCATTTCGATTTCTTATCAGATGAAGTTCTACAATTGAAAATGACTAAAAGAAATTCTTGATACTATTGCAGCAAAACTGAAATCTAGAACATAATCAGAATGTTAAAGAGAGGGTTCACAACTTCATGAAACATCACCATATTCAACGAAAATCAACAGATTCATTTTATTGTTGGGACCTAAGAGTATATTAAGAAACCTAAAAATTGCAACCTTCAGCTTGATATATTGTAAATATTATGATTTACGAAGGACACATTGAGCAAGCATATATCGCTATTAAAAGACTATACCTGTTTTTTCTGTATATAATCTACGAATAGCTTCGTACAATATGTAGAAAGATAAAGAGAAATTTGTTGTACAAAACTGCACATCTAGAATATTCTTAGAACCCCTCAATGAATGATAAAAGATATAAAATCTGTCAAAAAAATAATTTTGTTCAAAATATCTTTGATGAAATTATATATTTAAATATTCACGGATGTTTTATATCAACATTGATTGGGGCTAAAAAGAAAATTATGTGGTTTGTTACAGCAAATGGAGAGGTCTTTTTGATACTTACAGAACGTTTGGAATACAACGCTTAATATCTAACTTTTCAAAAGCTACAAGATATCCGTCTATATATTCAGAAAAGAATCTGTCTACTTAGGTCATGTTTAAACGCAACTTCATAATAGAATTTTTATACCTGATAATATTAAGGGAATGATCTTAAATCGAATTCAATAATTGAATTTCTTCAAAATTTGAACTAATTTTTCGAGTCACCTAGACTTTTGCTTCCTTTTTGAATGCTCACGAAGAGTGTGCGACCGTCAAGTATACTTGAAACCACATGCGATGAGTATCGAATTTTATGGATCAACATAAAGTTTTGAGTTCCAGCTGGTGCTGAAAGAATCCAGTCTATATATTCTATGTCTTACTTTATGATAACGAAGATATAAATGTGAATGTGAGATCTTGGGTATCTTTTCTTCAAGGGGCACATTGCAATTCACACTCATATCCATCCTAAACACCCGAAAAGTATTCTATTTGAATTCAACATAAAAGACTAGATACAAAATACAATTTATTCAGATTTAGGAATGATAAAGTGAAAAATTCTATCTTCAATAGCAAGCAACCTTCATAACATGTGTTAATAGTTACTTTCGTAAACCTCTTTAGTTTTTTGCGAGAGCAGCGGGGGTAAGATTTCTTATTTCATTAGAGTGTGGAGTATGGGTGTGCGTATTTATATAACCACACTTGAAACCCAACAATATCGACACTCACACCTACACTCTAATTCATCGAGCATTGTTCTCAGGCGTTTATTCGACAATATCAGTTTGTTCCTTTATTTGACAACTAATCTAAAATCATTCTAATCAATGGCATATATATCCAATGTTCAAGCATATCACATTATGTCATTGTCAAGTTTGAAAATAAATACTCGACAATCACTGCATTATGATCGGATAAATTTGTAGTTATTGCATCATAGTTGTATATTTTGCCTGTTAAACGTGTTCGATCTTTTACATAAATCCAATCGGGTGTGCCACCAAATGTGCTAGTCACACCAATAGATGATTCATTATAGGCAGCAACATATATTGTTTGATCATGCAAATAACGTGCACCACTCAAATAATAATGAACAAACAAAGCTTTGTTGGTTTCATTCAATGTTTTATAGAAAGGATAGTGGTTTAATTGTTTCATGGCTGCTTCATCCGAATCTTCACTATTAAAATCACCTATTATTGTAGAGAAATATAACGAAATGGTAAATTGATTCTCTGTTCAATCTTACCCATGATTATATCTGGGTCGTGTGCCTTTATAAGTCGCTCTAACTGTAAATGTTTGTGTTCTTGCAAGTGTTCATAGATTTTATCATCGTATCGTCCACCACATAGATGTACATTGGAGATTTTTGTATCATACAACTGAATAACAGCAGCACATCGTTGTGTTTCTTTGAGTATTATAAGATTAACAGAATGTAATGTTTGAACATGTTTCGAGTGTTTTCGATGAACATAGACAATATTTGACAAATAAGAACGAGAATGTTTGTCGGCCTCACATTCAGCTGTAAGAATATAGTCTGAACTTAAATTTAACGGTGCGAATTTCGCCTTTGTCCAATCATGATACTGAATATTTTCTTGAAGACAAACCACATCAGGTTGATGATTAAGAATAAACTTAGCAATTCGTTTAGGTGTTTTACTAGTTTTAAAGAATTGAACATTGAATGTCATTAAGATCAACGGAAAATATAGTTGTGTTTGGTTAGGAAAGAGGTCTGGCGATGTTATATTATTGCTATCACTCATGTTCACAAGTGGAATCACCGAATTGTTGATATAGTGTGTAACAGCATTTGCTCGTGGCAAAACTTGTGTGGTCTGACCATTGTTCACAGCTGAAATAATCACTAGATAATTTTGCGATCGAGAAGCAGAGGTGAAAAAGTTTTGGTATTTGCCCATTATCTCTTGAAATCTATTTGAGATTCTTTAAAGAAGTATCCAAATCTACCTCTCCTCGTTCTACTACTTGTAACTAAGTTCTTCTCCAAGCAAATTGAGCAACGACGCTTTGAGTACTCGACAACTTTATAAATTCGCACTTTTGAAGATTTACAGTACTGAGTCTTCAAGATAATAATATTTCCATTGAACCCTAATTCTAGGTTGATCGACGTTTTCTCCGAGTGTTTAACGACCGTCGGTTTTGCACTTATGTAGGAGAAAGAAGTTATCGAATTGTGAGTTTCGACTGCTCAATTTACCAATATTCTATTCACTTCATTAAAAAGATTTGATCGATAGCCTATATAAAGCTGTATGATTCGTTGTTAAAGACTCGGAAACTTTATCACAAATTGATTCGAAACTAGTTTACATCTGCAAACTAAATCTGGTCTATTGAAGCTATTAGAAATTTTATGCTGCATGTGTTACTTATAGTTGTGTATCTATCTATCAAAATTTATATGGATGAAATACAGATTTATTCGTGATGATCGAGTCTTGCAAAGATGGGAGCGTTGTTGTTTTGCGAGTATGTCTTTCATATCAAACGTTCTTTGATAGTTATTAAGATGTGGAAAGTTGAGAAGTACGGACAATAAAATGTTTTTTTGACTATTTCATTTAAGTCAATCGAAAGATATTAATCAAAACGATGCATAGCAATAGCTGTAGAAAGACAAAACGAGGATATCAATCACGAAATATCTCTCTAAAATTCACTTTCAAACCGTACTCGTCTATCACTAAAGCTAAAGATTAGAGAGTGGTAATAAAGACACTTTATAATTTGCTAATTTGAGTGCATGAATCAATTCTTATGTTCTCTTTCATTCATGGTCAAAGATATCTGCATGCAACTTTTTCAATTTCCGATTGAGTATAAAAATAAAACTCATCTTCTACTTATTTTGCATAAAAACACAATAGAACATTCAGTCCTACAAGTATTCCGATGTTCACTTTGCATTGCTTGCAAAACATTGGCATCAGTTATACAATTTATTTTCTCAATAGGTCAATGGCTGAATATAATGAAAATTGTTTTATGCCAGTTGAAATAACGAAGTAAAATTAAAATCCCTCAAAACGTAGGTTCAACTCTCTATTTCGTGAAAACTTGTTTTCGGTTTCGATGAAGAGTCATCATCATCCATATTCACTCAAAATGTTTCGAATACGAGAAGAATAACAATGGCTTCAGTTAGACAATGAGATTCAATTTGACTGGAACAGAAACAAACTAAAAATGTCTTACCGTTGCTCGTCCTGTTGGCGCTTGATTTCCTATTGTGCTTGGATGATAATTGAAAAAACACAAGTATCGTGATGACAGTAATAAGAACAATAATAACAATTCCAATAAGCGTGTAGAGAATTTTTGTTGACGACAATAGACGAGCATTGTGATCGTCGTTTTCTTTTTCAGCCTCCGTAACGTTTTCCATAGATAAGTAGACAGCTAAAGAGTAACAATTGACAAATAAAATTAATGTTAGATGTCGAACCAAACGTGAGAACTGAACGGAAAGTAAGTATGAAAAGAAAAGCTTGATAACCGCGCACTTTCATAAAAATTTCAACAATAAGCAAAGCAACCATTAAAAAACAATAACTATCTTTGCCAATTTTTCTATTTAGAATTATTGGAAATTTCTATCTTAGTTAGCGTTAGATTATATCTTTTTCAGATCAGCTTGAATTTTATCTCATGCCAAAAAGTTTGATTTTTCTAATTGATATATCTAAAAGCTAGACGAATAAATCGATTGAGTTGAGATAAATTTTGATGAACAATAATGATGGTTTCCATTATTATGAACTTTCAGTTTTGAAAATCAAACATTAATCAGCACTCGACATGAATTATATTTGTTTGTTATTGAATCTCTGCTTTGTACCTGATAAGATTAAAATATATTAGAATTGTTCTTAAAAATGCAAAATGTCCTGATCGATCAAATGTTCGTTTTCTAACTGGATTAAAACTCTAACATGTGTTACAGATATTCCGATCAAACTTTGATGTAAAAAGACAAAGTAAGTCGATCGAGCTGTCTAGGGAACAGACAAACCAGCGACAAAAATAAACCTCTTTAAATGAGAGATTTCATCGTCAATTACAAAGGTGGCAATGATGAACATCTATACACCTATTGTACATTTGATAGCACAACAAATTCACTTTGCAATTGTCAGGAAACCAGTAGAGATACTTTGAAATGGCAATAGACATCCAACGGAACTTCGATGATATCATTTATCATTTCAAAGACCGATACGTTTACTTGACCAACGGGCTGGATACAGTATCGTATTTATCAGTTTGTTGCATCGCACATATCTTGCATGTGAATCTTCTATTCACATTCATTCCCGACAGTATCAAATAGAGAGAAATCACAAATGAATCGTTTGCCACGCTTGAACTATCGAGTACATTGTTGATGAAACAATACCTGATTGAAATGATTCATTTACTCAATATTTCCCAAAAACTTTCCGATCAATCATATAATATTCAGCACAGACTACTGTTTTGATGATTGAATCAGATGAATGAAAGAATTTTTTTTCTGAATTCTAAGACCTTCACACTAATCAAAGAGACACAAATAGAAGGTATATCAAACGAAACGATTAAATCTGATTTGGTCTCGATCTTAGAGGAAGCGGAATCATCGCATTCTTATCTATTTAAAGCATATGAGTAGTGACCATATGACACGCAATGCAAGTTTTACACAACTATGAAGGGTATTGTTTCCAATGAACAATTGTTAGTCCTACTCACGATCCTGATCCCAACTTACGTACACACTTTATAGATTAAACATAGGTTGATACTTCCATGTTTTTGAATTGCATTACAACCGGTGAAAAGTCTCTTTCCTAACAATAATTCTAAAAGCTTAGTATGCTTTATCAACCTGAACCAAGTTTGTATTCAAATAAAGATTCTGAAGTCAATGAGTCGATAATGAATTAAGACTAATTTTATCCTACAAATGATTGAATTTTGTCGTCAATTCAATATTATCGACGGTCATTACTTTCACTGTTGAACTCTCAAGCAATAGTCAAACAATTTAAAGTCAAAGTATTAAGATTTTGCTTGTCATCGATACATTTATCATTGCTATATGATTCATTTTTCTTTTAGTTTCATTGTTAATAGGCATATAAAATTCTTCTGAGTTTACATTGAAACTATGCAACGAGTCTTTTATAAGTAAAAAAAAAAGTATGGTATACTCAGCGACATCATTAGTTTCAATTCTGATTTGTTCATCTTACACTATTACAATAGATTGATTAAATTATTGACCTATCCGGTAAACTTGACTTTCAAACAAAGCAAGGGTCCGTCCTAGGCAACGTCTCTTTCTCTCTCTTACCTAGCATATACACTACTGTGATAATTATTTCTTCAAATTCGAGCACAATGGACGCAGTAAGAACCTATTTGACAATTAGTTTACTCCTAGAATTTCTTTTTTTTTCTTTTTCTTACTTAGCCGTCAACAACTCAAGTTCAACAAGTTCGTGAAGTAACCCGTATTGAACGAACTGGTAAATATTTATTAAAAATTTGTTTTATTCAAACCAGTTTTTCACTTTTTTTTCTAGGTGCACATTCACACATTCGTGGTCTTGGTCTCAATGATAGTCTTGAAGCACGTGCTGTCAGTCAAGGCATGGTCGGTCAAATTAAAGCTCGTCGTGCAGCTGGTTTAATTCTTGAAATGATTAAAGAAGGTAAAATAGCTGGACGAGCTTTACTTATTGCTGGACAACCTGGAACAGGCAAGACTGCTATTGCTATGGGTAAATTTTAGACAATATTCAATCATTTATTTATATATGAATTTATTTTTTAAGGTATTGCACAAGCATTAGGTTCCGATACACCATTTACTGCTATGTCAGGCAGTGAAATATTCTCACTTGAAATGAGTAAAACTGAAGCCTTAACTCAAGCATTTCGTCGATCGATTGGTGTTCGAATAAAGTAAATATAAATGATTAAAATTTATTGACAAGTTTCAAATATAAAATTATTTCTAGAGAAGAAGCAGAATTTATTGAAGGTGAAGTTGTCGAAATTCAAATTGATCGACCTGCCACAGGAACGGTAGAATATAGATTTTAAGAAAAAAAAGTTTTTGATTCAAAAGATTGATTTATAGGGTGCAAAAATTGGTAAAATGACATTAAAAACAACTGAAATGGAAACAATTTATGATCTTGGTCAAAAAATGATTGAAGCATTAACAAAAGAAAAAGTTCAAGCCGGGTATTTATCTCTTTTTTTTTCTATTATTTCATTCATTCGTTCGTTCGTTTATTTTTTGTTTCTTTTTAAGAGATGTTATTGCAATTGATAAAGCAAGTGGAAAAATTTCACGACTTGGAAGATCATTTACTCGAGCAAAAGATTATGATGCTATGGGACCACAAGTAATATTTCTATTTTATAGATTTCGAAATAAAATTTAATTGATTTTATTTTTAGACAAAATTTGTTCAATGTCCGGAAGGTGAATTACAAAAACGAAAAGAAGTTGTACACACTGTAACATTACATGAAATTGATGTTATTAATAGTCGTTCACAAGGTTTTCTTGCATTATTTTCTGGTGATACAGGTGAAATTAAATCTGAAGTACGTGAACAAATTAATGATAAAGTTGCTGAATGGCGTGAAGAAGGAAAAGCAGAAATTGTACCAGGTGTTTTATTTATTGATGAAGTTCATATGTTAGATATTGAATGTTTTTCATTCTTAAATCGAGCATTAGAAAGTGATATGGCACCAATTTTAATTATGGCAACAAATAGAGGAATTACTAAGTAAAACAAAAAAAAGCAAAACAAAAAAAAAACATATAATTAATAATTTTAGAATTCGTGGAACTAACCAGCAAAGTCCACATGGTATTCCAATTGATTTGCTTGATCGTCTTTTAATCATAACAACAAAGCCTTATGAACTTGATGAAATAAAACAAATTTTAAAAATACGGTATGAATTGTTTATCAAGAAAAAAAAACAGGCTGTTAATGTAATCCCTACGGGATTACAATGCGAAACACGATGTGACTGCTGTCACTAATCATAGGAAGCTTTTTTTAATCCTATCTATCTTGGGAAACATTTCTTCACTATCCTGTAACTTAGTCCTTCAGAAATACATTAAGGAGGCAGTTCATATATAATAACAAGACGTCGTTGACATACAGTCTATGACATTTCCATGGTTATGTCTATTATGGTCTGTGAATGGATCGCTTCTATTGTGTCTATCACATCTGTGATGCCTCGTTGATAATTGATAGTACACTAGACCGATCATTTCGTTGTTCTCATATTTCAAGATGGTTTCTATCAATTGAATTGTAGCTTTCGACAAAATGTAGTTCTATTTTGATAATTTACATGCTCAAAATAGCTGTGATCTTTGCTACATGCTTACTCTGCCAAATTCGAAATACTAAATATGATGCGCTTTGATTTCACAGAAAATTAATCATACATTGCATGCGAAATGACTGAATATTGTACTTTGTATTTCATTCTTTTCAACGGGAAACCACACATTTGAAAAATGTTTTAGTGAAGTTATAGTTGCTTTATTAATCAAAATATTTTTAACAAAATGTAACTTCTCCGTTGAAACTGTAAAATACGAGATTTTTAATCGTAAAATGTCCTTCTTTTGTTTTTGAATTTTCGATGTGAATAATTTGCAGCGAAACCAAGGTCCATCATGCCTAATATTTCCAGTCTGACAGAATAAATACATAATATAGAGAGCTAATATATTGACCAGATAAACTATGATCACAGGGTTACATTTTGGCGGAAACGGCAAATCAATGAATGGAAATAATTTTGAGGTATTAGAAAAAAAAGATAATTGGCTGGGGAAATAATAAAAAAAAGATTGGAATATCTCCCTTGTGCTTTAACCAAATCAGCTCATTCTCTATTCTGGGAATAGAGAAGAAATCCAAGATTTTTTTCATGAGAGGAGTTCACGATTAATATAAAAAGACGCTCATTTTGATTACAATTGTGAAACTATATCTAGATGATACTACATTCAAAGATTTTATATACACTAGTCTAAGTGAGAAATTTGTGTGGATTAAATTTTAGGTCAGATTCGATAGAAAATTTTTTATTGAACATGTGAAATCATATTGAAGAAAGCAGCGGCGTCGGGTTTCCGAATCGTAATAGGTTCTATTTTTAGAATTTTTGTTGAAGTTTTGATTTTTACTCTTTCAAAATTTCTGATTAAGATCCAAAAAAATCTACTGTTTTGCTCCTTGAAACCTACGGAAATACATTCAACAGCCTAATTAACATCCAACAAGGGCAAGAATCTTTTGAAAATTGTTCTAGTGTACTATTCTCCTAATAATGAGCAAAATATGAAATCAAAAGTTTTTCATTATTTGGGACACTTCCTTATTAATATTCCTGTGAATCAAAAAAAAACAGCTCATTTTTCTATCGGAGCCAAGCATAATAACCTTGAACATTACTTGTTAATCTCTTTTTGTAAGAATAAAAACTTGCGTCTTTCGCCTCTATTACTACAAAAGAATTGGCTTATTTAGTTAAAACATGGTGGAAATAGTCAAACTTTTTTTTTTGTTTGGAAATACCGTCCTGTATTATAACAAATATGAATTTTGATAAACTGTTTTCGTGTAGTTGTGAAGAAGAAGATGTAGAAATATCGGATGATGCTTTAAATGTCTTAACAAAAATTGGTAAAGAAACATCATTACGTTATTCAATTCAACTTATAACTCTTTCAAGTATTATAAGTCGAAATCGAAAGGTAAGAGTTTTATTTTTTATTCTAAATATTTCTTAATTATTTTCTAATCTAGGCTCGTGAAGTAACTGTTGATGATATTAAACGTGTTTATGAAGTATTTCTTGACGAAGCTCGTTCAAGTGATAATCTTCGTGAATATGAACAGTATTTTATGTTTAATGATCTTACTTGTATGTATTTATGTAAAACAAAATAAGTTCATTTATATTCTAATTTTTTAGCTGAACAACAAGGAACTAATTCAGCAATGGAAACATAATCTTAATATTTTTTTCATTGTTGTTTCATTCGAATGAAATGTATTTTTTCATTTTTTGTTATTATTGTTGTTTGTATCTGTAGAAATTCACGATGATTAAATCTGTCTAACACATGAAAATAATTAGTTAAATGAATCTTCTAAAAATAGAGTTTTATCTCAATTAATATATACTTTCAGCATGATTGAATATATCAACATGTGATTTGCGTCTACAGTGTTTTCCTTATTTATGTATTAACAAACAATGGATCGATCGATATGGCTTGAAGACTTTATTTTTTCTTAGAATAATATTAATATGATATAAACATCATCAAAAATTTTTTTTTCTTCTTCTTCTGTTTTCGATATTATTATGTTTCTTAGAATCGAGACAGAACAAGAAAAAAAAATTCAATTATCCTTCCAATTCTCTCAAAAACAAATCTCTTGACACATTTCTATGCATGTCAATCTATGATGACTAGTATTATTTCTTGGTTGTTAATAGATAAATAGAAAAAGAAAATTCTTATCGATCAAACATTCAGAATCTTCAAGCAATGTGTTCATAGTCATTAAATATTTTCAAGTCTTTGTAATTAAGTGATCGATAAGATACTTTAAGATTTCGTGACATATATTCATTTGTTTTTCTTTTTTTTTCTTTTTCTTTTATTTCTTGACAGTGCCTACAACAACTATTTCTTATTTTATTATAGACAGTTGATTTGCATGTTGATCAACAATATTTATATTCGTTAAATGTATTCCATCTTTTAGTTTTTACTTTCTAGTTGGAAAAAAAAAAGGAAACATTGTTTTATGATGATTATAATAGAAGTAAGTATATGACATTTTGTGTTCGATTAAAAAATACAGAAAAAGAAAAAACATTATTAGGAGTAATAAATAACCGAATCCTTTGTTTTTTGTTTTTTCTATAAGATGATTACTTGAGAGATATAAAGTTTAATAAAAGTCGGGCATTTCCGATAGGCATTATCGTTATTGATTGAGTCAATCGTTCCAATTATTTTTCTTGTTTTTTTCTTTTCAACTAAGTCTCAATCAATATAAATAGTTTAAGCAATTTACGCTGACAAAAAGAAAGAACAAACGTGAATAACGTTTCAGTTCGTTTTTTTTTCTGACTAGTCAATATTGACTTGAGCCTTCAATACTTAACATGTGTGATAGATTGTAATGATAAAAATAAATAGAAAATACAAGGATTGGCACTAATCATTATCTATTATTACTAGCAAAAATTTGTTGAATGAGCAATTATTACATAAGTTTAATCATATATATATATAATGATGATGATCATGATGACATGTACACTAGTTGAATACATTTTATGAATTTAATTTCTTCATAACGAAAGCAATTACTGAAGTAATCATCGGTAGTCTCCCTAGAGTTAATTGATAGTTTGATAGACTTCTACTCATTGATTATACAGCCATTGGGAGTTGAATGCTAGGCATGTTAGTTGTGAGATTATTCAAGATATATCAGAAAACTATTCATAGTTTTAGCATACGATTGATTTCAAGATTTATTGACTAGATGGACCATACGACTAAAATGTTTTTTTTTTCGTTTGATCAACGAGTATTTACCCCCAAATCAAGTAACATCAGTTATAAAAAAGATGAAAATGATTTTATTTTTATTAAAACTTTACAGCTGCCAAGTTACTCAGTAGTCGATGTTATTCAAGCATGTTTCTTTTTGCTCACTCTTTTTTTTTTCATCTATTGAATTGCTTATTTATATAAAATGCTGTTATAGAATATGAGCATAATGACATTCTTTTTTTCTCTACTCGTCCTGCATTACTTTTTCGAAATAAGCAATGAGAAACCTTGAGAATATTTCTTCATTTGAAAGTCATGGAAACATGAAATATTTCTATTTTAGAAAATTAAAAGATTAGCGTTACTTTCAATAACATTACTTAGCCGACTCGTTTAGAAGTTGCGCGTCTCTTATCATCAAACGAAATAAAAGAAACCGTACTATGACAATAGTTCTCTTATGAATACTTTAGAAAGATAATAGAAAAAAAAATCTTCACGAGTCAAATATTACCTATAGACCAAATAAATATTTGTTTTCTTATAACGCTTTGCCTTCTGACAAACATTTGTTACGTTGTATTCTGCTAATATGAATTTTTTATCCGAGAATAACGATAAATATTGTTAATCTGAATGTTTCATCTATTTCAGTCGATATTTATCTGATAAATATTGTCTGGTGAAAATATGACTACAGATACTAATCGATCTCGTTCGATATTACGTCAAGTACGTGAAAAATTTGGTGGTGTGAGTGGTAGTCGACGTCGAACAGCAAGAAGAACTGAATCTTCATCATCAACATTGGTTAATACAAAACGTATATCCGCTGATAATATTGATACAAAGGATTGTCACACAAAATCTCATTTAGAAAATCCGACACCAGTTACATATTCTCATCATTTATCTCTATTAATGAATGTTAAATCACATTTTAATAGAACACGAAAATCTCCAACAACATCAGCATCATCATGTGATAACGATGAACGTACAAATTTATCATTACCACCTGTTATTTCCATATCTGTAAGTTGTTTTAAATAATAAAAAAGAAAAAACATTTTTCTTGTTGTGATAGAATTAGAATTCTTTTTTTGTCGATAGTTTTGTCCTGATAATTTATTTATCAGCATCAGCTGTTGTATTTTTTTCTCTATTTGAAAATGATTGAAGAATGAAAACAAAATTTAAATTGTAAATTTTCATATTCACATATTTATTTCTTTTTAAAAATATAAAACTATTTGGATTACAACAATTTACTAAGCCAGTTTTATCAATATTATTTTTACTGAAATATCATTGAAACTGGAACATATGTCAATAATACCCTGCAGAAATATTTTCAATAGGGCAAATAAATGAAATATGTACAAATCTAGATGGCTCCCCTCGATTACTGCTTGTTTTTGTCTCGAGAGAGTCAACTCCTTCATTAGTAATTTGATTAATTATGAAATAGAAAAAAAAGTGTGTGTCATACTTAAATTATTCTTTTTAATTTATTCATTCTATTACTCATGTTTTCTACTTGGGCATATTGACGACTTTAAAAACATTAAAAACTCGTTTTTCAATGAATGAAATTATCTTTATTTCGGAAGTTATTATTTAGAAAAAAACAGCAAAATTGAATTTACTTCTTTTAATTTTTTGATTTTAAATAAATTTGACACCTCAAATGTAGATTCAGTTTTTTCTTCTTTTTTCTTTCTGTGCATTTATTAATAAAAACTTATCGAAGCAAATTAAAACTAGCAAAATTTTACTAACGATAAGAAATAATGAATAATATTTTGTGTAATAATAATTACATACGCTTATAAGGCTTGTATATTTTGAATATCAAATGAACTATATAAACTTATTGTTTGACTAGCAATTCATGTTAGATTTTCTTTGTTTTATATATAAATAAATTTGCAATTCAAACATGCAATCATATTTTTCAGACACGAATAAAATAACGATTGTCAAAAAGTGGAATAAATTGTCCAATGGCCTTTATTTATTGATTCATTTTTTTTTTCGTATATTACCACTTTACAGATTTCTATCAAAATATGTAAATCGAATCATATAGTTCTCTTAATACGAACAATGTTTAAAATCTTTATTGGCTATATAATCGTAACCCCCAAAGCAAATAATCAATGAAAAAAAAAATCGATATTTTAACATATTGAAACAAAATTTCCATTGGCGTGGACGTACCGAGAGGGAAAAGGGTTGATGTTCCTTAATCTTGAAAAATTTTCGTTTTTCTCCAGTGAAGTTCCAGAGATTTTTTTGCTCATCGACTCCAAAAAAATACGTTCAATCCTTCGTAAAACTCAACCAATTTTAGCAAAAACCTTTTAAACGGTCTCTTGAATCATTGATCTTCACCAATCTTGCCGACTTCAAGACACTCCTGCTTATTGTAAAACAAGTTTGAAAACATGAATTTTAATTAACAAGCTTTTTTTCTCACAAAAAAGAACTTAACACATTAGAAATGTGCAATTTTTACGTAAAACTCGTCGGTGCGTCTGATTGAATTGATACTATTCATATACAGAATGATTCAAAAGTGACTTTCTAATAAGAAAAGCTTGAGTATTGACGTCATACATTGACTAAATCGATTGATATTTTTTTTTATTGCTAATAAAACTATCTAACAGTGATCTTAATGATTTTTGAAAAAAAAATAGATATTTATTTTTTTTTATCAGAAATGTATACTAGAAACGTATATCGTATTAATGTCACCTGAAAATTTTAGTCATAAATCATTGAAGTTATTGAGTACATTACATACAAAATATTGTTTATTGTCATAACTAGTTAGTGATTATAGATTTTTATTCAAGTCTAAAGTAATAAAACTTCAAAACAATAGTTTTTATTATTTTTCTTAAGCATATTTGATAATGAAAAAAAATTTACACAATCGGTAAAATTATGCTAGAGATCCATACACTTTTCTTCTTACAATCGTAACATTTGGATCATATTTTTAAATTCGTTTGATTTGATTCAGTACATATATTTTATAGTTCATAAGTCTCGAGTACCATGTGACCTTTAATTCAATATAAGTGTGTCATAAAATAAGTATCTTCAGTTCTTTCATGCTTATCTGATCACTTATTCTTTTATAGAAAAAATAAAGACAAGGCGTATTCGATCCAATTCTTTCAATAGATCTGCATATCTAAAATAAATAGAATTATTTTTGAAGAATGTTATTGTTATGCACACACGTTTGTCAAAAGTCGGATGTCATTTCCGAAAATTTTCCTCATTCTATACGATTAAGACGTTCAAATAATCGAATAGGAAGACATGTCATCAGTTTCATTAAAATTATATAGGAAAAGGTCTTAATGCTCTTAGACTCATTGTTATGTTGAACAGACAACTCAAATGTTAATCGTTAAAACATTAGTTGTTAATTAGATGCAATAGAATACATAGTGGCATCCATTGACATACATAGCTTCATTTACTCACAATCGAAAGTGACACCATTCTATCAACACCAAAATGGGTCTCATAGGAAAAATCTGTAAAAGAACGACAGAGCATAGCATTTATTCTCTTTTCTTCTTTGCACAAGCGTTCTTTTCTTTTTTGTTGTTGCCCTGTGTTGTCTCAGACACTCAATGAAGATAAGTTTTTTTTGTTGTCGCTAATCATCTGTTGCATTTCAACATCCGCTTTCCTTTCATTTAATCGTTTAGTTAGGGAAAAAACTTGCTGAAAGAAATTTGAAGAAAAGAAAAAAACATAACTAGTAGTCCAGTCAATGATGCTTATTTATACTCGGAGATTAATTTTGTGTGATGAAATATGAACATTCCTGATAAATATAACAAAAATGTAATTATGAAATGTTTTTGTGCTTGCATCAAGGTGATCATTTTTTTTTATCAGAGATCGAAATTCGGTTCTATTGATAAATTGAAAATTCTTTTGTTTCTCGTTTTCTCTAGGAATCAAAATCAACATCTCCATTGGATGTTAATCAAAATCTAGGTAAAGATGAACTTAATTTATTATCATCTGAACCTCTATTGAATACAATTACACAAAATATTGATGATCAGGTAATATTTCCACAGAATTCCTCAGATTTGGTAGCATCTGATGAAAATACTCCACAATTATCTCAATTAACTATTGATAATAATAGAACATCGTGTTCGAATCGAAAAAATTTAAATAAATTTAAAGATCAAATGGCTCAACGTGCACGAACAGTCTTAAATAAATCTCCATCATTAACCTCAATTTTAACAAATACATCAATAAAAACAAATGCTACTGATATGGTTTATTGGGTTGAACTTTGTATCGAACGAGGAAAAGATTTATCTATTAAAGATTTTAATGGTACAAGTGATCCGTATGTTAAAGTTTATTATGGTACGGAAGAAAAATATGTAACAAATACTGTATATAAAAATTTAAATCCTATATGGAATGAAAAATTATCATTTTTTGTACATGATTTAAATATTCCTATTTCTTTCTGTTTGTTTGATTATGATCGTATTGGACGTGATGAGTCTATGGGTTCAGCAAAAATTGATCTATGGAAATTGCCACTTGAAAAAACTTATAATGCAACATTAGATTTAGAAAATGAAAAACGAATAGATGGAAAAACTGGTATGCTTAAAATTAGTCTTACGATTACACCAAAAACATCAGAATTTCGTGATGAAGTAAGAACAAATAAATAAATAAATATTATTTAATTTATATCTATTTATAAAGATAATGCGTTCATTACCGAAACCTTCTTCAAATAGAAAATCTTCTTTAAATGGTCGTATAGGAACAACTAATATGATTTCATTAGCGCGACGTACTATTGATTTATTTGTAATTGAAGGAAGAAATTTAACAGTAACCGGTGGTAGTAATAAACAAATTAGTCCTTATATTCGTCTTAAATTTGGAACAAATAAAAAATTTCGAACACAAGTATTGTAATGATTAATATTTTTTTTTGTTTTCAGTTTTTTTTGTTTTCCTTTAGACAATCAAATCAACTTCTAATCCAAAATGGCACCAATCATTTATATATGATATTAATGCTAATGAACTTCCTCCATTAGAAATAACTGTTATAGATGATACGAGTAGTTCTGGTGACATCATTGGAAGGTAAATCGAGAACAATAAAACCAAAAATAAAATCGTTTCTTTTTTTTTGAGATTTGACAAATTTCATAATTTTTATTTAGAGGAATTTGTAATTTCACTCATTTGGATGAAGAACGAACTCATAAAATATCAGTCGATCTTGATGATAATGCTGGTACTATTGATTTATTTGTAACTATAACTGGAATAGCACCATTACAAGACGTAACAAATGATACTGAAACGTCTTCTAATATTGCACTTGATGTTATACCAACAAAATTAGCAAATGAAGATATTAAACAATATGTTTGTATAAATGAAAAAAAATTATTTATTTCAAAATAAATTTTTCATTTTATTAGAATTTTTTTTCAACATTACGAGCAATAAAACCAATATTAGATGTTGGAAAAGTTGAAATTAAAAGTAACAAAAAAAAAATAGATTTTTATTTCATTGATTGTTTTTAATAGACGAAAAAAATTCTATTTATTTTAGTTTATCAAGCACGAGATTTAAGTGCAAAAGATATTAATGGTAAATCAGATCCATTTTGTGTTGTTGAACTTGATTCAACACGTTTACGTACACATACTATTTATAAAACACTTGATCCAGTTTGGAATAAATCATTTATTATACCTGTACAAGATATACATTCTGTACTTGAATTAACTATATTTGATGAAGACACAAATAAAAGTACAGAATTTATTGGAAAAATAGCTATACCATTATTAGCGGTGAATAGGAAATTACTATTTCTTTTTCGTGTTTTAATTTGAACACTGTTTTTCTTTCACTTTAAAGATTCAAAATGGTGAAAAGAAATGGATGACATTAAAAGATCGAAAATGTATATTACCTGTGAAAGGTATTATAGAAATTGAAGCAACACTTATTTATACAAATGTAAAGATATTTTTTTTTATTTTTTGTAATATTCAATTTTATATAGTTTTGTTTGTTGGCCATTCTAGTTAAGAGCAATTATTCGAACATTTAATCCTAGACAAGTTCGATATTATCAACAAGACGGAAAATTTCGTGTTGGTGTAAGTTCTTTATTTCTCAGATGTTGAAAATAGAAAATTTTAGCAAATTTTTCCTTTTCAATTTATTTAATTTCGTTGGACAGAGCACATTGAATTACTTATGAAAAACTATATTTTCGATTTTTCAAAACAAGTGTTTCCTAGAAATCTTAGAAAAAAAGACTGAACTCTAAATATCATGATTGGAGGCGTCTATTATCACAAATATGTCAATATTTTATTGTTTTCACTTTGTAGAACACAGTATCAGGGTTAGTTCCGGATTTTGAAATTACAATAGACCAAAAAAAGCCTTATGTACATAAGGCATTTTTGGTCTATTTTATCCGTAAAATCAGGTAGGAACAATCTTAATGATCTACAAAGTAGAAAAAAGTCAAATATTTACATATCACGACTCTAATCATGATATTTAGAATGTAGTCTTTTTTTATTATTTTCTGGAAAAACTTGTGTTCAAAAATCTGAAAAGTAGTTTCTCAAAAAGTAACTCGATGTACTCTATTCAACAACACTAAATGAATTGAAAAGAAATTTGCTAAAACTTTCAATTTCTTGCACTAGCAAAGAAAGAAATTCTTTTTTTTTTTATTTATTATAGGTATTTAAACAACATATTAATCGTGTAAGAAACATGCTCAAATGTGTAGTCAATGCTGCGAAGTTTGTTAATTATTGTTTTGAATGGGAAAATCCTATATTAAGTTTTTGTTCTTTTAACGTAAGATGATATATTTAATAATTGTTTAAGATGATAAAATGTTTGCTTCTTATAGATATCTATTGTTATTATCTGGAATTTTCAATTGTATATGTTACCTTGTGCGCTTTTATTAATATTTGCATGGAATGCAGTTGTAGAATATCGTCGAGGTTTATTAGGAAAACCTTTTTCGACATTAGGAGATGAAGTAAACAAAAAAAAACGACTTGATTTTTAAATGAAACTAAGATTTATTTTGTTGTTTTGATTTTATTTTTTCAGGTAGTATCTGCAGTAATACAGCCAGGAGTTATTGATGAAGATGCAATAGAGAATGAAGTTGGTAGTAAAGTAAGAAAATAAAAACACGAAGAAAAGAACTCATAAGTATTTTTTAATTTATTTATTTTGATAGGAACCAAAAAGATCATTGATGGGTGTTATTCATGGTATTCAAGATACTGTTCTTGAAATTCAGGGTTATGTTGATGATGTCGCTTCGACATTAGAACGTATTAAAAAGTAAAAGGAAAAACGTTGTTGTTATATACTTTTACAATTACTTGTTTTTTTTCTCATACTAGTGTTTTTAATTTTACTGTTCCTTGGTTATCAATTCTTGCTATAGTCGTGCTAACAATTGTTTCCATAATACTTTATCACATTCCACTGCGATATTTAGTTCTTGCTTTTATTATAAACAAATTTACTAAACGATTTCGTAAACCAAAAGGTTACATTGATAATAATGAAATAGCTGATTTTCTATCACGATTACCTTCTGATCCTGAACTCGTAAGTACTTTTAAAATTCTTTTCTTCCATAAAAGAAAAAAAAATCAATCATTTGTTTTGTTTTGTTTTTTATTTTAGTTACAATATCGAGAATTAAAACTTCTATCTCGTATTCCAACACCAAAAAAATCTAAACGTACAACTCCAAATGGCAAATAACAAAAACAAAAAAGAATTATTTTATATTTAAAAAAATATTTCCATAGACAATTAATATTGACAATATGGGAGTAGCGGTAGTTTGTGATAAAATAATATGATCACTCTATAAATGAGAGACATTTAAGATCAGATATAATGTTACTATTTTTATTGTGTATACGGTGAATTGTCTTTCGAAAAAAAATAATGCAAAATCAATTAGATATTTATTCCAGCAATTATTTTTTTTTTCTTAATGTTTTTGATTGATTTAGTTTGACAAATGAAAAAAATTTCTGTTTTTGGAAATTGAAGACAAGATTTGTTTTCTTATTATAAACGGTGAGTATAAAGCGATTTGTTTGCAACCATACTTTTGCTAATAAATGGATGATATTGAAAAGAAAATTACTTAGGCGTTTTATGCTTTTAGTTGATAGAGAATCATCCTTAAGGAGTATCATGAATTTTTTTTTCATAGGAATAAATCTATTTTGTTTTCTTGATTTATTGTCCAAATGAGTATGTTGTCGACATTGATTTATTTTATACTTTTCACATTTGTTTCATCGATTATTATAATGATGGTTAAAAGAACCTAACGATAATGTTATGATTGGAATACGAAATGATACATTAAATGCATTATTTAAATATGATTTTGAAGTTTAATAATCAGATGATTGATGGTTTTATGAATGACCAAAAATGAATACATGGAATATTTCGTTATGGAAATATAAAATGCGAGATACGATGATACGTGCTGATTAGAGGATCAATGTGGCACTACCATCGGATATACAAAAGACACGCACGTGATAACGGAATCTAGTTTACACTCAAAAAGATAATTACAAAAGAAAAAAAAAACAGAAAAAGCATCCTGGATAATTCAAATTAACCTTAATAAAAAACACTATTGAGATAGATTGTTAGCAGTTGCGTGTTTTTCTTATCCTCTAAATTACGAATTGTAATTATATAGTGATTAACCTGAGTGTTAAATGAAAATTACTCAGCAACATTACAACACATATAATGATAAATGGTTACACAAATATTAAAGATATTTATTGAAAATAAAATAAATGCTTGTGTCAAATTGATATAGCATATTGATAAATATTTGTTATCCGTTGTTTTCTTGTTGATCATGGACAAATAATTATTTATTGTAATGCTCGTTATTGCACAAAGTTGATGACATAGACAAAAATCATTTATTCTAATATTGTGCACTTGTATAAAAAATTGTTTTGACTTCTTCTTGTATTACAGTTGACTATTGACTTTCTTTTAGATAATTGCTATATCGAAAAATAAAGATCCAACATATATTGAAAGATATAGAGTTTCAAGAGAGAAGAATAGGAAAAATAATGTTAATAAGAATGAAATCGAAGATATAAAATTTTTCAATATTTGAAAACCTATTGAATAAATACAGCAATTACGTAGAATAATGACAAGTGTAATTGCAATGCTTTTAACGATAACAACTTTGTCAAGAAATCTCGATACCTAACATTTTTTCTGAATACTTGACTTGAGAAATGTACGAAGTTTAGGTAGCATCTCAGATATATATTTGAGAAGTTTTTATTGTTAGTTATTTAAAACCTACTTTAAATGAAATTTATTCGAAAGAAAGATTAGAATGACTTGAAAAAAACATGATTCTTTTTTTAAACATGAAACTAGATATTGATCAAATCATTTTGATTAGATGATACTCGTAAGCTTTAGCTTCATTACATAGTCAATCTGCAAACATGCTTCACAGTTTGACATAATGGAAATATCGACAACATAAGAAGCATGTAGTTGCAAAGAACAGATTTGATACTTGTTTGTTTTTTATTGAATTTTCATTTATTAACCTGTTTTAGGTAACCTATTGAACATATTGTTTATAAAGAGCATTAGAGTTTTTATTGAAAATAAAAAGTCATTTTTGAACTTTTCTAAAGGTAGTACAAACATAAGGAAAAAAGTCAGGAAGGCTCATTGCGCTGAAAAAAGAAGGAAATGGCTATGTATACTCAGGTGGATATAATCAAATAATTAGTAAATATTAATTTATATTATAGTCTTATACGCACTTGATAAATAATATAAATAAAATTTCTTCACTTATTAATAATTTTACTCTATTTATTTTTTATTAAATTCAAATAGAGTACAAATTGAATATTACAATCAAAGAAATATGAAAGAAAAAGTTAATTGAAATAAAGATCAGCTACGTAATTTAGAAACATTTTTAGCGCTTCCTTCCTTCGGTTTTGAAAGAGATGGGTGTATTTTATTATTTTCAATAAATTGGACGAAAATTATGTTATGCCGACGCTTTAATTATACATTCCTTCTCTGTTGATAAATTATAAAATGAAAGCTTCTGTTTTTTTTCTAGCTAATTGACATACAAAATGGGAGCATGAAAAGTCAATTAACTTTTAATCTAGAATGATCTTCTTTTATTAAGACTATCTGATTAATCCTCACTAAAGAAGAACACTTAAAATAAGGCTATAAAGTCGAATTTTCCGAAGGCCGAAAAAGAAGCTATCAAAATAGGAACTCAAATCAGAAATGGATGCCAAAGAAGATTCCATCATTATTGTTTGATAAAAAGATATTTTTCTGTGATTGTTATGTTAGGTGTATTGAAAATAATAAAATACAACCATCTCTTTCAAAACCTAAGAGAGGAAGTGCTAAAAATATTTCTAAATTAGTTGATCTTTATTTGAATTTTACTTTTTCTTTCATATTTCTTTGATTGTATTACTCGATTTGTACTCTATTTGAATTTAATAAAAAAAATTAATAGAGTAAAATCATTAATAAGTGAAGAAATTTGATTTATCAAGTGCATATAAGACTAATATAAATTAATATTTACTAATTAATTGATTATATCCACCTGGGTGCGTATAGCCATTTCTAAAACAGAATTATTTTAGAAACTAAAGAAGAAATCGAAATACAATTTCAAAGATCGAAAATTTCGATGACTGACAAAAAAAAATAGGTCAATATGCTTATTCCTCTATACTCTTCTCAACGATGTTTATTGTTGAATGAATTGATACACCAATTTTTGAATTCATACTTATCTTATGTTATTTTATTTCTCAAACAAATACTAGTCAAATGAACGGCACACAACAATGAAATTGAAATCTTTTAGAATAAGTATAGTCACATGCTTTATCCGATCATTACTCATTTCATGTCAATGATAATACCAGAATAATGCCTTTCTTTTTCATCTAGAATTTTTTTTCTTTTTTCTCTCCAGTTAATTAATTAATAGGCATATTTGTCGACATACTAATAAACAAGCCAATCAACTGTGAACTCCTCTTTCAAAAAAAGATCATCTCCAGTTGAATATAAACTCACTGTTTTTCGAATGTATTCAGCCACTATTCTTCAGTATCATCAATTGAATATACGATTTCTATGCATGGTAAAATTACTATTTCTACTCCAAGTATAAGCGTCGTTCACCTATAGATAGAAATAAATCATTCAATCGATCAACATTCTCTACTTCTTTCTTTTGAGGCGATAAATTATTCTTACATTCGAACAGAAAGAATAATTCACAAAATGAATCAATGAATTTTTCCTTCTCTTTTTCTTTTCTATCAGCCTGTCGGATGGCATTAAATTCGGCACAGAGAAACTCTTTCTACTGAAAGATAAATTGTACTGTGAAGGTCTTTTATTTACTATAAATGTCCACCATTTGAACATCTATTGCTTATCTTATCGGTGGGTACGGTCCAACTGTGATATTGATTAAACAGAGCTCCTCCGTTTGTGCGTGCGTTTTGCTTCAAATAAATACAAAAGAAAAATACTATTTTCTCTTCAATACATTTATTTCTTTAAAAAGAGCAACAAAAAACTACAGTTTCTTTTTTAAATATTCGACTTTCTTCCGCACATCCAGAAGATTAGGATGATTTTCAGGTACAGAACATTGTAAAATACTCAATGCATGTTCAAAAAATGAAAGTGCGCTCGAATAGTCACCCATGTTTTCATACACTGAACCAATGTTACCGTAACAATTAGCCAGATGAGGATGATTTAAAGGAAAATTTTTTTGGAAGATTCTCAGTGCTTTTTGATAATATGAAAGTGCATTAGAATAGTCACCAAGATGTTCATACACTGAACTTATGTTGTTGTAAGAAAAGGCTAAAGCAACATCTGTTGGTGCTAGTATTTTCTGTTTAATTTCAATGGATTGTTTACAATAGCGAATGGTCTCTATATATTCACTTTGATTCACCATCAATCATCCGAGAGTGTGATAAATATATCTCTTTTTCTCATCAATTATTGTTTGATCTAGCAGGATATCATACATCTCTTGGGCTTCGTCGAACTGCTCAAGTTTGATTAGCAACACACCCAAACGATCCCATCCTTCCGCATCAGGACCGATCTCTTTGCGCATCTGTTCAGTAAGTCCAAGGAGCTCTACATCGTTGCCATGGGCCAATGTTGAATCAACTTGGCAGAGACGATTACTTCCACCAACTTGTTTCATTAGTCCAATACGAAAGACGGAATGCATGGAAAAGAGAATTTCTTCTGCGTCCTTAAAAGAACTGACGTCATGAACGTTTGCGAAAGGAATATTCGATGTTGATGGATTAATAGTTATTTCAAAGAGTACACCGATCAGGTCGGAATCATTTTGGTTATTTCGAGCAAACGCAAGAGATACTTCGCGATCAAGACTTGTTGACAAAAAGTTATTAAATGATAAAAGTCTACATTTGATTTTAACCATTTGATCAAAATGTCTTTGCAACAGCCCTTGACCACGATAAACAGTAAATGAATTTGGATGCGCATATCCAGCAAATTGCTGAGCATGAAGGTCGGCAATTTTTTTGTGAAGATCTTGAAGAAAAAATCCCATTCGAATAATGAGATCGACCTTCAACATCCACAATGATCGATTGAGCATCGAATACAAAAAAAATTGATTAGTATACCACCAAATTGGGACAAACTCGTGGTATTCTCCTCCAGTTTGTCAATATTCTGGAGTTCTTTTGGATTTGTGGTGAATAATTGACGACAATAACTAGTGAATTCATCAATGTGTTATTGATTGAAATCGATGGTTAATAGGATCTCTTTCATGATCTGTGTGTATATAAATGAAGGATCTAATTGGTCGAGGTTTGGTTTGCTGTCTTCGCCACTTATTGTGACAAAACTGATTGAAATCATGTTTTGGTCACATTTATCTGCCGCTTGTTGAAGTGGTTTAATAATTAAGGTGATGTCTATAAATACACTGTTGACTTTTGGCCATTTTTTAATCCAACCTTCATGTTTAGCTTTGTTGTCACTCAAAATATAAATAGTACTGATTTGAAGAATTTCATGGGCGATGGGAACAGTTATTGGTCCAAAGGCATCAGAACAAATCATAAATATTTTTTGTTTTGGAATATCGGTTATAAAGTCGATATATTCATTAATGTCAGTGAATGAACATATATTGTTCACAACTTCTTTTAATTTGTTGATGGTATTGATATGATTGTTGTTATTAATATCATCAATGTTGGCATCGAGACATACAAATGCAAAATTCTGAACCATATTAACTTAAATGATCTGGCGGCTCCTTATGTTCGTAAGTTCAGAGGGTGCGGCAGCAGCAACAGTTCTGGTTATTGTTGTCGACTCTTTCTTTATATTCATGTTATACGTGTTATTTTATCAATGCAAGAATAAAATAAAATGGTTTGAATATGTATGGTATGTTGAGATTTTTCTTTCTAGTAAATATTTCTATTTGTTGTCGAAGTTGGTTTTTCCCCTTTTCATTTCACTTGAGTTCTTCAATTCTCTTTTGTATCTGTAGTTGTTTCTGATATCACAAGATGACGAACGAGTGAAAAAAATGATTCATTACATTATGATTTGATATGCTTTGTCGCATTTTGCCTCTTTTTTTAGTATATTACCTGAAAGTTTTCTCTCTCCTTCTCCTCATATTACTTAAACCCTAGTGAAAATGTTTAGTTTTTCAGCACTAGGTCCTTCACAGATTCAATAAGGATCCTGCAAGGGCTTATCGTTTTTTTTGCTCAAGAAAGCGTGTAGCCATGGAGTTTCAAGATTATGACTAGGCTCAAAACAGGATTCAATCAAGATTCTGTGCAGTTTACTACTAGATTTAAAAACTACGAATAGATTCAGGAAATCGTAAATTCTGAATGAAATATGTAGCCATGAAGTGTCAAAGGTTTTGACAAAATTTGATACAAGATCTGAAAAGGATCCTGAGCAACTTTCCATTCTTTTAACAATAGGATTCTGCTAGAACTTTAATATTTTCTAAATAAAAACGAAATTTCTGTCTATATGTTGCAAGATTTTATCAGCTTTGCTCGAGGATGTTATAATATTTCTTGATACAATCTTTACAAGATTTGCAAAAGAGAATAGAAGAGAAAGGAGCAGATAGAATATCAATCTCTAGACCTTCAGTTTACAAATCGATCAGCTTATGTGACTGAATCGTACTATGTCATTATGTATAACTACAAATTTCCAGATCTTGAATCTCGACTGAATTGTTAATTTATCATGGAGTTTTATCTAGACACAAATTATCTCAAAAAATTTTAAACATATAATATCATATTAAATTTTCCTTTTTGTTTAAAAACTGACTCTATTTTTTTTGTTACTTGCAATCAATTTAAAAATTCTATGTCGAATTTTTTCTACGTTTAACTCATACTATGAATAGATTTTACCAAATGATTAGTCTCTGATGAAAATTAGCTATTTAATGAAAAAAATGAGTGCAATAACTAAAATGAAGTTAATACACCGATTTAATAATTTTCCAAATATGCTTTCAAGATAAAAGCGCAAAAACAATTGGTGTTTTTAACCTGAATCTCATATCAATTCCAATATAAATGTCTGACTCATCTGCAAAAATTTTGCTGGGATTTAATCGTAAACTCTCAGTTGTTTTTTTATAAAAAGATCCAACCATGGTAAGAATACAATATTAGTAGACTCTTAAGTTGTGTCAGATTCAAAGCAGAATATTATGAACATTTAAAAAATCCTTTCATTTTTCACTGTTGAGATTTTACTAGAGATCGGTATTAAAATTTGTTTTATGATCTAAAGATTTACACATCTCGAGCATATCCTTAAGAAAACGACTAAAGCCTTGATGAAACCCTTACATTCATCTTGGTCAGGATTTTAAACAGAACCATTTAAAAATCTAGATAATAACCTGAAAATCAAATTTTGAAAAAGTTTTAATCAAAAATGTTCACAGATTTAAGCTAGATCCTTATATTTTCCTATAACGATTCTCATCATGGTTAGTGTTGTCTTGTAAGGATTCGAAAACACTTGTTTCTGTATAATTTGCAGCAGAATACTGATCGAAACTCGGTAGAATTTGTTTTTTTATGATTCTGATTGATCTTGTTTTATTCTTGTTAAGATCCCCTCTGATATAACTCCAACTCTTGACCTGATCCTCGTATCAGGATTCCGAACAGAGTTTGGCAGAATTGTGTACGTTATTCCTGTGAGGACCTTGAGTAGGATTGAGAGTGAATCATGATAAGATTCTGCATTCTCTATTTGGAAAAAAAATCTTAGCAGGAACTTGAATAAATCCTGAAAATGATCCTGGTTAACTGTGAGAAACTCTGCAATCAGGAGTTACTATGATTCGAGACAAAATCCTAAATAAAAGTTGACAAGATTTTTGAAATTCAAAACCCTAGCAGACCTTCTGGAGTTTCTTGATGAGTGAATGAGACTGAGACTAGCGAAACGATTTTGTAAATTAAAATAATTAGAACAGTTCACATTTTTGTTTGAAAATGTATGGCGAATTCATATTTCAACAGGTTTTCTTTTTCGTTTTTCTCAATTGAGAGTTCAGTACTATACTAAGCCAAAAAAAAAGTGTATGTAGATGGACTCTGGCATATAATACAAAAAGTATTTTTTACATCTATGTTCTCACACTATTCTCATGGAAAAATTGAATGAAACTGTCATCATTAATTTGTTTTAAAAATGATACACAGCGCTTGTGATATTCTTCTATGATTTCATTATTATGTCGTTGTAATCTATATCCAGTTGTGAAATTAGTTCTTTTGTATATTCATTTCAAGATATCGTTTTGAGAAAACATTGTAGTTAATTGCTCGAATATAAAAATTCGATTATTTCCTTATGTTTAGGTAAAGACAACACATAATGCTTGGAAACAATATATAATAAAATCAAACTCTCTTTGAAAACAAAGAACTATGACACAGTTTTCGTTTAATCAATGGAAACCTGATATATACTTAGCTAACACTATGGGTTCTCTCAACAATGTTTAACAACTTATATCAAACAGAAAGTAAATTAAATCAATGATATTCATGCTTAATCATGACAATTCAAGTTTTGTTTAATATACAAAACTGACGAATACATTTTAAATTTCAATTAACGATCATCCATACCACGAAAACTTTGAAATATGGCAGTAACATCCGATTTAATCACTATTGGTGCTCCAACTCGTTTTTACTATCTCGAAAACAAACAAAATTCTCACTTCAAAATAGTCATTTTGTGGAGTGAATTGAAAATGACTGAAACTTCGTATCAAAGTTTTAAAAAATCAGTTGATTATACAAGAATGTGAAATTTCGTAATAAGGTTTGAACGAAAATCGTACAACTCTCCGGTCTATAGATTATCCTGACACAAAATAGTGACTCGAGAAAATAAAAATAAAAACTCCCAAACAATTTGCTATTCAGTGCTTCACATCTTAATGACTAAATATAATATAATCTTTAACATAAAACATTTGTTTGTAATCAATGAAAAAAAGACAAATCTAATTGTTTGTTTAACAAGAAAATAAATTACATGAAAAAAGATAGTCAAGTTTGTTTCTTCGATGTCTATATATGTCCAAGTAATCAATATAAATACTAAATGATGCGTTTATTTTTTAAAAATTCTTGACCTTTCTAAATAAAGATACAAAAATAATATCACACATAGAGTAATTCTTTTTTTTTCTTACCGCTATTTGTCGTACTATTTCATCTTCATTCTCTAATAGTTTTCCTTTAGCAAATTCTTGTTTAATTCTTGTTAAATAAAAATCCACATCTGTATATTTTAATGTTTGACTATATTTAAGTAAATCACGATAAAGACGAAGAACTTCAAGTTGTCTTGATGACATTATAAAAATATCTTAAAAAGAAAAAAAAACAAAAAAAAAACAACAAATTTTATTCTTTTAACTAATTAAACGGCCTTTTTTTATTAATTTCTTTTTTATTTTTGCTTTTTTATCATCTTTTCGTTTTTGTAAATTAACTTTACGTTTTTCTTGTCTTTCTTTGAGACGTTTTTCTGTTTCAGATTTATTTTGTTGCCATTTTTTCGTTGATTGTTCACGACGTTTATTTTGTTTTTTAATTGTTTTACGTAATAATTGAATATTATCACGAATTTTTTCACCTTTAGCTTTTGCTAATGCTGTTTTCCAATGTTTTGAACGTAAAAGTTCTTTTCCTTCTTCAGGATTTTCTTCTCGTAAACGATTTAATTCATTTTGTTCAGATTCAACTTTTTTTAATGTACTTATTAATTGTTTTTGTTTATTTTGAAATTTTATAGGTTTTTTCTTTTTTGATTTTGTATCAATTGAATCTTCAGTATTAAATTCAAATCGACCAAATGTTATTTGATTTGGAATTGTTGATAATTTTGAATTATAAGTATCATTTGACGAAGAAGACGTTGTTGTTGGTTTTTCTGTCCATTCTTTAGTAGATGATCGAGGTTTTTTTTCACGATCTGTAGATTTATCTTTTGTACGTTTACGTTTAGCGATATGATCAGTTCCATTTTCTGTAAAAGAAAGTAATTAGATAAGAAAGAAGAAATTAAAAAATGTAATAACCTGTTTGTTGTTGACGATGAGGCATTTTTGCATGAAGTTTTTTTAATAATTCTTCACGACTAATTGAATTGTTTGATTTTTGTTTATTATTGTTAGTTGCTGAATTATCTTCTAAATAAAGATTTATAGATACAGATTTATATTAAATATATAATTTTACTATGATGATGAGCTAGAAATCGATAGATTCCTGATGTTGTACGAATTAATTCTACACCAGCTACTTCTAATGATGGTGTAGAAGTTTGTTCTTTGGTTTTTTGTTGTTGTTTATTTCGTTTTAATGCTGATTCACGAAGAAATTTATCTTTAAGTTCATTATACGTTTCTAATTCATCTTGAACAATGTATGTTTCAGGTCGAATAAAATCGACTAATGAATGAAGAATTGTATTTAAATTTAGAAAATGTTCGATTTCTGGATGACGATGAACAGCATCATCTTGGGCTATATTAACATCAGATGTATTTATATCTGTATTAGACATTATTAAAATCTAATTGCGATTTCGTGCTACTAGTATAATTCAATCTGAAATAATATAAAAGAATCGTCCGTTTAATCATTGGTCAATATTTTTATTCAGTTTATTCCTCAATAAGAAAATTGGACAGTAGAGGACGCTCGAAAACTAATATCCATTCAAAACAGGTCAATGGTTTGTTTTCTATTACAAACAACTCAGACATAAAAGTATTGATAAAGAAAACCAAGGCCTCTCTAGTTGATTCTATTACCCATTTATAAAAATTCTTCCGAAACTCTTAAAATCGGCCAATTTAGGCTACACGAGGTAATTAAATCGCTATATAAAAACCCATTCTTACCGCATAAGATTGAAAAAAAAACAGACGATTGTGAAATATTGGTCTAGATTTTTCATGTTACTCTAAAAAAAGAAAATAAACATCACCACTTATGTCAGTATGGTCAAAACCTTCTACATCAACTCATTTCAAGCTGACTGGCGATCAATTGGTAGGTTTCAAGGGTCTCAAAAGAACGTTTATAAATTGGCAGCGGAACCAACTGGAGAGGCCTTGATTTTTTCTATCAAATCCCTATCTTAAAAGTTGATATGTAATGAAAAAGGCTTCCATGGCATCGTTTTCAAAATAATCACTAAGAACTAATCAATATTGACTAATACTTGATTGTTTAATTTTTACTTAGATTGATAAAGTTATCTGTTCTCTTTAGAATACTGAAAACTGCAGATTGCAAGCTACTTTTATGCCTGAGTTGTTTGTGATACAGAAAATTTTATTGACCTTTTTGAATGGATATAAAGAGTATTTTTTATAAATAGAGTGCCATTTTTTTGAGAGATCGAAGTTTCCTGTCCTTGAAAAATGAAAATAAAAGTAACCCAGCTCTACTAATGCCTTGTATCTTGACATCTTCGTTCGAACAAAAACGAATTAAGTCTATAGAATAATAGTCCGCAGAGAATTTTAGATTGCGAAATGAATTATTTTTGAACCTTGTTAATTCAATATTTCTCGAAATCATCAGGATATGGAACTGAAAATTGTATCATAGGCTTTCCAATACAGCTCTAACATGTTCTAGAGATTTCATGCGATTTGAATGCACCTTAATCCAGATCGACTTCTGAGCGGAGAGTCTCTGAAATAATTGAGTATCGTCAAAAAATCAACTTTTGAGATATAGACATGATTAGAGACTCTGATATGTATACTTTCATAATCGATACTTTCTAAAAAGAAGGGCGGCATAGGAACCTTTTAGAATTTTCAATTTTGGTACTATTTTTTGAAACCTTTTTAGGTTCCAGAGATTTTGGCTAAAATTTAAAAACGTTTAGAAACCATAAAACGTTCAGTAAGACGCTCTAAAAAAAACAAAAGAATTTCTGCTAATTTCAATCATTACCAGGAAATTACAATATTTACGAAAATTTCTTGTGTATCTATGCAGATGAATAAAGTTATAAGTCTGTAGAAATATAGAAGNATTTATAGCTGAAGTCAAGATCTACAACTTAGCAAATAAAATATTTGATTAAATGCGTCAAACTGTTGTACAAACCATTCAATACCAAAAAAGACTTCAAAAGTAACTACTGCCACCCCTAGATTAAAATACGAAAAGAGTGATGATATCTAATTCAGCATATCAATATTTTATTATACTGTTGTTTTTTAAAAAAAAGATCCTTATGTGAATATTTTGAAAGAATGGTTCAAATTTCCCAGTTTCATGGTATACATTAGTCATTTATGTGAGTCCACAATAAAATAAAGTTTCACTATATTAAGTGATCACTTGTTAGTAAATCGGCATTTACCACTCAGATCAGTTCCATTTCTAATTTATAGGTCTAGAATCTCTTAGTGTCATCATAGTTTGTTTTTACTGATAGTACAGATTTGTAATTTGCTGGATCGTTTTCTCCCTAGGTTTTAAGACTAACATGCTCAATAGACTAGCTTATTGATTAGAGAACCTTTTCTGACTTGAAGTATTATGGTTTTTTTCAGAACTAGAGTTGTACAGAGGCAAGTTTTTTTAGTTTCGGTTTCGGTAATTTTCTACGTTGGATCCTAGTCGTCTAAACAGGGGGTGCAGCGTCAGCGTAAATACTGACAATGAGTCACCTCTACAGAGACCAATAGGGCTCTAACTACGCTACAACACTGGGATACTAGCTCCATCATAATATGACCTTTTTGTACCTATGTGTTCCAAAGCTTCAGCGAACACTAATGTCAATGGTCACCAAACTGAAATCATATATTTTTATGTCTAGAGAAAAGTATTTCAGAATCAGTTCACATTAAATATTTTAAGTCTTAAATACTCATATTTTGATTAATTCAACCAATGAATATCACCTTTTTTTGTTTGTGATAATCTCTCCTGAATTTTGCTTTGATTAATGTAATTGATAAAATAATTTGGTAAAAATCATAGAAAATTTAAGAAGAATTTTCAGTTTCAATTCGAACAACTTTTTTTCTCATAGTCTCGGTTCTAATTCGATTTCGGTAAATTTTTACTTTTTTTAATCTTGATCCTAAACATCCTTATACTTCTTATACAATAAATATTTTATTACTTTTTGCTTTTAGCCATTTGTTTGTTGGATATGTTCAAAACCATTTTTTCATGCATCAAAATTACGTATGCATTTAAAAGAAAAACATGATACTGATGTAATTATAAGAAAAAAAGATGTATTAGAATCTGGTACAGAATATGAAATAACATTTGTTAATTCTGATGAACGAACAAAAGATATTTTACCATCTATAGAAAGTTTATCAACCAATGATGAACAATCATCAACATTTTATGAAATAATTCTTAATTCTGATGAAATTGAAACACAAAAATTAACATTAATTGATGAAACATGTGATGAACCAGTAACGAATTATCAATTATTGAATGAACTAACTGTTAATGATATTGAAACATTTGTTAAAAACAATCCATTTGTTTTATCTGATAATGAATTAAGAACTTGTAGTTCAGGAGGAGGACATCATCAACATTTTGATGATTTAAAATTAATTGATTTTCCTGTTATGTGAGGAATAAAAAGAAACGAGGAAAATACTTTAGTCTTGTTGTTTTTTGTTTTTTTTATTGCATCTATTAGAAAGAAGAAAAAACAAAAATCCTGAAAAAAAGTCCAGATGAATTTTGTTTTTTTTTTTATTGTTTATTTTTTGTTTGTTCATATTTGTTCGATTTCAGTCTTTAATATCGTATTCTTTTTTTTATTTATATTATTTCGTTTGTCATCATTATCGATTCGTGTTTTAACTCGTAATCGATGTTGTTTATTGTTTTTTGATTTATCATTTATTAATGATGAAACATTATTTGTAGTGCGTCGAAACTAAATGAAAGAAACTTTATGAATCTCATTGAATTCTTCTTCTTTTTTTTCAAACTAACTAATTTTTTAATTATACATGGTAATAGACATTGAAGATATATATAACAAAAGATAATACTACCAATAAGAATTGCGATTATAATCCAACGATGTTTTTGTTGACTTTTATTACTTGACCATGAGATTGTTGATTCAGTTAGAATGAAGAAATATAACATTGTTGTTGTTTTTCTCCAGCGCGTTTTTTTTTTATTTATGTTTTAGATAATGTCTGAAATCAGGATAAGTTCTACGAGTTGGTTAGCTATTTATTTACGAAATGGTAGTGTTGCTATGTTCGATTTAAATGATACATCTTCATGGCAATGTCTTCAAGTTGAAACGATTGAAGAACAATCAAAAGATGTTAATGATCTCAATTATCTTAATCGTAATTTAATAAAATTTAGTCCAAATGGAGAACTCTTAGTTGTGAATGGGCAAAATAAACAATTATATATATATATTCAATCGAATTTTGAAAAAACCGAAGTCTGGTGGCAATTAAAAACCACTGTTTGTGTAAAAAATTATATTTTTGCTTTAGATTTAACTAATGAATTTCTACTTATTGCTGATAAAAGTGGTGATATTTTAAAAGTTGATTTATTATTTAATAGTAATAGTAATCTTATTGTGACAGTTGATAATAGTATTTTGAGACATTCATCTATGTTACTTGATATTGCTTTTATACATACAAATGATAAAAAATCATTTATATTAACAGCTGATCAACAAGAAAAAATTCGTTGTATTCATTATCCAAATATTTCTCATATTGAAAAATATTGTCTTGGTCATACAGAATTTGTATCTCATATTAAATTAATTGATAATAATCATATTCTTTCAGCATCAGGCGATGGTAAATATTTGCTTTATTTTGTTTTTTTTGTAAAAAAAAAATTAAATTTACTCTGTACTTTTTTTAGGAACATTCCGTCTATGGCGTCTTCCTGACTGCACACCACTTGTTTTATTACATTCAAAAGCTCTTACATTATCATCAAAACAAATGTTTTATACTCAATTGTACAATCCAAGTAGCTCGATATCACTAGAAGATTATCAAAAAGATACAATGCCACAAGAATCTTCATTATATTTATCTTCAACATTAGATTATTCGATTTGGAAAATGGATGTTGCTTCTTATAGTCCAATGAATTCAAATGTTTATATTGCTTTTTCTATTTATGCTCATCGATTACATTCAATTTATTTAACAAGTTTATCAAATATAAAACAATTAGCTAATGAACAATGTCAATTAATATTTGATTCAAGTTATGGTACAATTGTTGATTATTGTTTTCCATCAAAAAATAATTTATTTGATGATTATACAATATATTCAAAATGCAATTTATATGTTGTATTTGATAGTAATGTATTAGTTAATGTTAATATTCTTTCAATACTTTCATCTAATCAAACAAAATTATATGTAAAACCTAATCAAAAAATTCAAGAAATTAATAATATATTAGCTAGTAAAGAATTTCATTTAATGAATTATATGAATTATAATATGAAAACAGATGAGGTTATATTTCAAAAATTATTTAAAAATTCTAATAATAATAATAATAATAATTCTCATTATAAACGTAAAATTGAAATAGTTGAACAACAACAAAAATCAAAAAAAAAGTCATCATCACCTAGTGACGACGAGTTTTAACTGATTTAAAAGGTTTAAAGTCCAATCACATGATTCTTTTTATCATGTTTATATCATACTAAATGGACTTTGTCGCTCTCTCTCTCGCTTTGCGTTCTTTATAGGGGTGTGTATGCGTGGTATGGTTGTAATTTCTTTTTATTCTGTACGCGTTATTGTAGCGACGTACTGCGCGTGAGCCTTTTTTTTTATTCTGCTATATAGCAGTCTCAATGTAACGTATCTTGAAAGAAAATTTTGTTTGAAAAATCTCTTTATATTTTTAGATGATGAATTCTCCGTTACTTAGTGTAGGTTGTCGACTTGGACCATCATGTATTTCAGTACTTAGTCGAGTAGCAACTCATCGAACCGCTACAACAGCATCATCATTAGCTACAGCACCAGTGACATCTGAATCAAATACAAATGAACAAAAGTCAAAGTCGAAAGAACAACAAAATCTTTCGTCAACATCCAAAGAAAAGGCTGTTAAAACTGATAAACAACCTCGAACATCAAATTCATTTGTTTTGAATTTATTTCGTGGTCAATTTCATCCTAATGAACTATTTCCATATCCTAATGTACTTAATGAAGAACAAAAGGATAATGTAAAAATGCTTATTGATCCCATATGGAAATTTTTTGAAGAAAAAAATGATCCAGCTAAAAATGATATGAATGAAAAAGTAAAAAAAAAACAAATTTTTTGTTTTGCTTAAAAATAATTCTTTTTTTTTTATTCAGATTCCAGATGAAGTTATGAATGGTTTAAAAGAACAAGGTGCTTTTGGTATTCAAGTACCTGTTGAATTAGGTGGTCTTGGTTTAACTAATACACAAGCAGCACGTCTTTTTGAAATTGTAACTGGTCATGATCTTGCTATTTCAATTTGTGTCGGTGCTCATCAATCTATTGGTTTTAAAGGCATTCTTTTATTTGGTACTGATGCACAAAAACAAAAATATTTACCAAAATTAGCTGCTGGTGAACACATAGCAGCATTTTCTTTAACTGAACCAGCAAGTATGAATTTTATTTTATTTTTTTAAGATTTAAATTCAATTTTTTTTCTTGTGTATATTTCAGCGGGTAGTGATGCTGCTTCAATAAAAACTAAAGCTGAACTTTCATCAGATGGTAAATATTATATTTTAAATGGTTCAAAAATTTGGACATCTAATGGTGGTATTGCTGATGTATTTACGGTATTTGCCCAAGTACCTGCTGTTGATGATAAGACAGGTCAAGTACAAAATCAAATGACAGCTTTTATTGTTGAAAGAAAATTTGGTGGTGTTACAAATGGACCACCAGAAAAAAAGATGGGTATTAAAGCATCAAATACAACTGAAGTTTTTTTTGAAGATTGTAAAGTTCCTGTTGAAAATGTACTTGGTGGTGTTGGAAATGGATTTAAAGTAAAAAAAAAAAAAACAAACAAAAGATAAAAATAAAAAATATTTTAATTTTATTCAATATTGCTTTTTTTTCTAGGTTGCTATGAATATTTTAAATAATGGTCGATTTGGTATGGTAGTTGGTTTATCAGGAACAATGAAAATGGCTATTCGAAAATCGATTGTAAGTTTCTATGGTAAATGAAGAAAAAAAAAACAATGAAGAGAAATTTTTTTAGGATTTTGCTAAACATCGCCGTCAATTTGGTCGTACAATTGATACATATGGTAATATTCAAGAAAAACTTGTACGAATGGAAATGAGACAATATGTTACTGAAAGTCTTGGATTTCTTTTGGCACAAAATATGGATCGTGGAATACCTGAATATCAATGTAATGAAAATTCTTTCTCTTATTTTTTAATAAATTCATATTTTGAATTTTAGGTGAAGCAGCCATTGGAAAAGTATTTGCATCCGAATCAGCATGGTATGTACTTGATGAAGCAATACAAATTCATGGTGGAATGGGTTTTAGGAGAAGCACTGGTCTTGAACGTGTTTTACGTGATTTACGTATCTTTCGTATATTCGAAGGTGCTAATGATATTCTTCGTCTATTTGTTGGTTTTACTGGTTTACAATATGTTGGTTCACATTTACGTGAATTACAAAATNCATCGTAGATTAATTTACTATGTTCATGGAACACATATTGAACATTTATTGCAACAAACTTTTCAAGATAAGAAAATGAAAAGCTTTCTAATTTGTTTCAAAATAAATGGAATGACCTGTACACTCCTACTCAAACGTCTGGTACCACTTGTTTATTTTGAGTCATGTGTTAAAACTATACAATATTAATTTATTTCAATTATATATTTGGATACCAGAGATCGAGTACTATATATATACACCTGCTCAATTCGTAAAGCTCTTGAATATGAAATACAATAAGGGAAACAAACTTCAGTACTGAGAAAAAAATGACATAAAAAAACTACAAAATGATAATAAAAATGTTCGGAAGACTTTTTGTTGTGCAATAAGAGTTTGTTTATATTGCTTTTATAGAGCATTCAGTGGCACATCTTTTGAAACAAAAATTAAGATGCTATCATTTTCGTAAGCCGAGATACATGCAAAATATTAAAGTCTTTCAAACATTTTTATTATGTTAAATGCAGTGGGAAGTAGCATTATCATGCATTTTCTATTCATTTTGAACATAGAAGAAACCATCAAAAGAAATCAATAGAATTTTTTTCTAACAGTTTTTGTAGAGCTTTTCACAGCTCATTGTTTGAAAGAAAAAACCCAGAATTTATCATTTATCTGTGAAAAGATATTTGCAAAACAAACTATGTTGCAAACATGTTGGGACACCCGGTATTTCACAGTATTAAATATTTTCACTATAATGCCGTCATTTCTCAATGAGATTCGAAATATTTTTTTTTTTACTAAAATGATTCGCGAAAACAGTTTTACAAACTCTGATAAAATGAAAAGCTTTCTGAATACTTCATGTTTTTCGTGGTTGACTGATCATGGAGGTATCCTACAACAACAATATCATTTTGTAGTTTTTTAAATCATTTTCTTCTTAGTACTGAAGTTTTTTTTTTCTGATTGTGTTTCATATTCAAGAGTTTTTCGAATTGAACAGGTGTAAATATATAGTACTCGATCTCTGCTACTCAAACATACAATTGGATTAAATTAATGTTATATAGTTCTAATGCACGACTCGAAAGAAAAAAGTGGTACCAGACTTTTGAGCAGCACTGTATTTAAATAGACAATGTACAGTATCTTATTTTATTTTCCACGTATAAACCTAGCTATGAGTATGATACATTGATTATTGATCGCATATATATGATAACTGGTGAGCAGTATCTGTATGTCGTGTATGATAGACTTGGTTGCATGTAGCCGACGAAAAGGACATGTCATCATATCATTCCAAAATGAGAAAAAAATGCCTTATCATTACTCCTGTACATTTTTCAATCGAGCTTAATGCTCACAGTTTGCTTGCAATTTGTATTCTCGTGCCCCAGCATGACTTATCTGGATATGATCTTCTAATATCAAACTACAATGCACAGATATGCAACACCACTTTTTGACTTATGAGATCCATATCAGGAGCTTTTTCTTCAATAGTAAATTTCACCACTGAGCTATTTCTTAAATGAACCAGTAAGTTCCCTATACTAACCAAGTTGGAGCATAAGAGCGAATCTGACCAGTTGCGTTGTTCATTATAGGTTTCAACGTATCATAGACGATGACAAAAAGACTGCTTTGAAAAAAAAACTACAATGCAACAAGTTAACCAGTCTGTACGATCTCAATTTGAAAGAAGATTCAAAATAACCTCATTTGACAATAAACACAACTATACATCTGATGGTAATCATGATGATGAACCAAGCTAAAACTTCAAATCTGATGTTAAATCTTTATCGAAATTAGAAAAATGTATTTCGTTTGGAGACGAAATGATGATGTCTCTTCTTTTTCAACAAGCGGTAGATCTCAGTTTTATGGAATGAGAATCTTGGACACTATTTCTCCTTCATTCTTCAACTCCTATTCTTCTGTCGAAATCGATGTCCAAAAAAAATATTCATAAACAGACAACCTGTTGGTTTTGAACAGACCGAAACACTATGCAATTAACTGATGGGTTTCAACATATTCGACAGTCGAGTCGCCAAATACAAAGAGTTATATAGGAGATTCTATATACTTGCTCAACATGAAATTATTTTTCTATTTGTTATTTCATTTTTTTTTCTTGATATTATTTTTGTTGCTTTGTGTTGTTGTGCTTTCAATAAAAATAAAAAAAGTTAAACTGCTGTATTGTTCCAAGGAACTTAATACCTATGTCAATAGGTGACGTGTCGGCGAAATCAGGAATTCATCCTGACTAGAATTATATAGATAGTTCTTTCAAAAAACGAAAATTCAACTTCGATCTCTTACATTCCCAAGTCTAATCACAATCATATTATTGAAGTTCATTATTAATCGTAATTTAGTAGTATTGCATTGACTTCTGAATCTGATATATTTGCCGTAGACCCTCTAATACTCCTTGAAAATGATACTCTATATATCACTACGAAACAGTTGATAATTCATTTCGATCTGATGTCTGTGATTAGGATTCTATGTTTTATCGATATGGAGTATTTTTATTCAATTTCGTAAAAAAAATTTTTTTTTTCAAACGAACTATCTATATAATTCTAGTCAAGATGGAAACCTGATTTCATCGAGATGAAAATGTTCATAATGAAGGATATTGAAAACTGTTTGGTACTGTTTTCCTTGAAACCGTTTATCTGTTCCTTGATAATGTAAACCTCATACTGCATCGAAAGCAAATTTATCTTTTCGATATGTTTTACTACTTTATAGAGAATCACAAGTTGCATAACATATCCAAAATTTAGCTTGGTGTTGTTTGATTTCAAAAAGTGCCAATAGATATACTGTCAACAAACAGATATTATACACGGCTAAATGATAACTTTTTCCACTCATGTTGGCTCAGTCAAAAAAATTTAATTGAATATTTTAAATACCTCAGTTTTTTTAATAGCTGTTGATGATCTATCTTTTAATATATTGCATGAAAACCGTCTCTAGTTTACGGAAGTATAATCGTAGTAGATAATTAATCATTATTTCCTTGATAGATAGTAGATAGGTGCTGCTGAACAGTCGATCAAGATTAACTTTAATATAAAATATTAGAAAAAGCTAAAATTTTGGATCCGCTGGTTTTAGATGATGTTCTTTTGTAGACATGTAAAAAATCAAAAATTTTTGATTAGTGCCTCAGTTTCCTAGCCATCTTGTGGATGCTCTCTTAATGAACATCTCTCAGTTTTCTAAAATATATGTTCTGAAACATTATAGAATTGTCTACTAATTCAAATCAATTTTAACCTTTACTAACATGTTTACATCCTGAATAACGAATTTTTCTTTCCCATGCAAAATAATGCTTTCTATAAAAACTAAAACGTATAATACACCTTAGTTATTATTAAAGAATTACTGAAAAACTTTCTAAAGTATGAAAATCGATAAAGTTTTTCTTTATACTCTTGAAAAACTTATAAGGAAAAAAGTATGTTGAAAGAGTTCTTTTGACAGTGTTTGATATTGAATTATTTTCTCACTCATAGCCAATTTCAAAAATTTACTCTCCCATGGTTTTTGAAGTTCAGACATTGCTCTTTCAATCGAAAAAAGAATAAATATTCTACGATGTACCTAAGCAGAGAACTACGGGTCAACGTTTTAGCAATTTGCTTTTGTATCGTAGATTGTTCTAGATATTAAATCTGTTCGTATTATTCTATTTTCATTTGTTGTTGCTGTCCATCAATAAACTTAAGATTGTTTCTGTCATTCATTAAACTTGGCTTCATTCATACTAGTATCATATAAATTATTCAACAAAATCATTCAAGTTAAATGAAGTTTCTCTTTAATTATCTGATTGAGAAAAAAGTAAAGTAAATATAATCATACTAATGTAAAAAGAAACCTACCTTTAACTGTTAATTACAATATATGATATGTATAAATGCAACTACAATACAATTTATCTTTTTGCTTTTTCTAATCAGCATATGTCGAAGAAATTACTTATTTATAAATTATTGTACTCAACTATTTGATCATTTATTAGAATTATCTGTACATCTTTTTTAAAGAATTTTATTGATCATAGAATATACGTAGAATTTCATTATGACGTGTTCTTCTTTAATTACAATTTTTAACAATTAATTATTTATAATAGGGATGCAATTCTAATAAAGAATAAAAGCATTCGATTTAGACAATCTCTACATAATTTTTAAAAGTCAACATAGCAATAAAAAGAAGGAATGAAAAGTTTTGAAATCACTTTAAAACAATGTTAATTAAATTGAAATTTTTTCTCGGTCTACCAAATTCATTAAAGTTACTTTATCATAGATTTTAATTTAAACCTAAAAGAAATAATAGATGAATAAAACATGATTCAGTTGTCTTCATATTGCTTTCTAGTAAGTTTGGCAACGTAATAAATATTTCACTCAATTTATTATATGAATCTTAAAAGTAATGAAAATTTTCTACAATCGATAAAAAGATTAGAATATACAAACGATTAAAATATTAATTTAAGAATTACAGATATATATATATATGTATATCGCGACTTGTTTTTCTTATTCTTTGCATCTGATGTAGTCATAGATTTTTTTTCAATAGACTGTATTTATTTACATTTTTATGAAAAAAAATCACACTTGAATATAATGTTTGTCAAAGATGCCAATCAATTCACATAAATTAAAAAGGAAATTGTCATTGTATTGCATCATGTACATATGTATAGATTTATCAAGTATAAGAAAGAAATAATGATTACCTTTGCGCAATTGAATTTTTATGTTTTTCTTTTCTTTTTTCTCTAAAATATGATATTCCATATGGATTCGAAACACAAAAAGAAATTTTGATTTTGAGTATGAAATACTTACTTCTAGATCAAATCAATGTAAATATGATCACTTACCAAGTAGTCCTATATGAAAAATTTCTTAATTTAAAACTATAGTCTTTCAATAGATGTAACCAACAAGAATACTACAATACACATTTTATTTTTCCATGAAATAAAAAAAATAAAATATTAAAGACTTATTTTTAGTCTTTTCCATTGAAGACATGCTGATCTTGTTATTTCAAGCTGAGATGTCTTTTGAAAGGAGTGCCTTTTTCCAACAACAGTCATCTTAACATTCGATAATATCTATATAAATATCTTATGTGAGTTAATTTTGATACACATATATAATGATTAGATGATAATACCGAATCAGATTGTTGAAGATGGAACGATACTAAGCGGAATTGTGTAAATCAACCGCTCAGTAAAGATACATCTTAATAATGAACGGTGTATGTATATATGTGTAAAGTTGGACGAATGAATGTTAAAATGTGCGAGTGAGAAAAAGTAAAGGTAGTAGCAACAAAATGAGATGTTGATTTAAAGAGAGAAAATAAAAGAAAAAAGAAAAGAAAGAGAGAAGTAGAAAGTGAGAAACTGAGAGAGAGAGAGAGAGAGAAGGAGAAAGTTTGTCTTTCTCTCTCTGTCCAGGTGTGTGTATGTATGTTCTAAATTCTAATAACAAGATATTCAGGCACTTGGTTTGACTGTTACTTTTTTTTACCTATCTGACTTCTGCTATATCTAATGAGTTGACGCACTTGTCAAATTTACGGATGGCTAAATAGTCAATCAAAATAAAAGTAAACTAAACAGTAGACATACAATCCGTGTGTCTTCTATCGATTTCCACCTGTCCTGTCATCATAGATATTTTTATTTGTCTTACATATATGCATTATTAAATAGTGTCATGCCCTTTACTTTCGTAGATTTTTGTGTTTCTTCTACTAGTCAATTGACTATTTTCGTTTCCATTGTCATCATCATTACCATCCCATTAATGTTCAAGTATGGATCTCTCTGTCTCTTAAATGTGTGTTTGTACGAACACCTTTTTTTTTTTTCTCTCTCGTTTTCTCTTTACTTTCTTTTTCTGAGAGAAGGCGGAGGAAGAAAACGAAGTAAGAGCTCTTCTCTTTCAAGTGTGACGACGAGCAAAGTGATTAAATGCAACTAAGTGAACAACACATACAGTAAAAGTTTTAAGAGTAAAGAATTTTATTTTCTCTCTTTTTTTTTTTTTTTCATTGCCAAAAAAATTCAAAACGACGTTCTTTTGTTTTCTAAATGTGCAATGTCCATCGTGTCTCGCACCGATTTGTATCCGTATGAGTTCATCGATAAGTGTTTTCTTTCATTTCCACCGTAACAACTTCCTTTTTGCCTTTCTTATTCACTCATAACTACTACTACTTCGAGTAGCATACACTTTTTTTTTTTGCTAAATACACGCACGGCATCAAGCGTTTCGGCTCATGATTTGAAATGACAGACGTGAAACGAGAGAAAGAAACGTGCGTGTATATATAGGTGTATAAGAAAGAAAAACGAACGGGTTTCCGCTTTGTTGCCATCATAACTACTATGGTGGTAAAATGGCATAGTGAGAAAGTCTGTACCGTCATCGTCTACTTATCTATCCGGTGTAAAAGAGAAGTAAGTAAAAAATGAAGGAAATTGACATCAACACATGAGCTGGAAGCGATGTAAGTGAGTGTGAAATGAGTTCGTTGTTCTTTCTATCAATTCTTTATTTTTATAGTGACAATTAGATTTTGTGAATATACATTTCTGTTCATGTGTTGAGAGAAGAAAAAAAAAGGAGAAAATGATTAAAGAATAGGTAATGATTGAACAAAATATTTCTTATAAATATTAAAGTTTTATTCGTCTAGTTAAATGTATTTTGAATAAGAAGAAATTAAAATAATTCATTCATTTGATCTCACTTTCTTTCGTACTACTACTCTTCAATACATAGATGAAAATTATAGTGAGATCAATTGTAAAATAATGAACTGAACTTACTTAAATAACATGATATACTATGAATGACTAGCATACTTTTCTTCTATGTCTTTGCCGGTGTGTCTGTGTATTTTGAAAGACGGTTAGTCGACCGTTGTGTTGAATGAAAGAGAGAATAGTAGTTGCAGTAGTAGCACAAAGAAGAAAAAAATGAGAGAGAATTATGAAAATGTTCGTTAAAGTGTGTGTGTGCGCAGCGCCGTCTCGCTCTCTCTGTCTTACTCTCACCAATGTACGATGCATTTTGAAATTCCATTAAAAATGAGTGTGTTTGACACACGACGAGTGAAAGAAAGTATGTAGAAAGAAACGAGAAAGGAGAGACAAAAAAGAAAGTGAGACAATCATTCTAGTCTCTTCAAGCATCTAACCAGCTGATTTATTGAACAATGTTCATCATTGCGGTTAGTATGTTTCTCTCCCCCTCCCTCTCTCTCTCTCTCTCTCTAGTATGATTTCCACTTTTATAAATTCAAGATTGAGAATGAGTATAACAATATATATTGGACATGGTTGAAAGCAAGCAAGTTTGTTTGACATACGACGACTTCTCTCTTTTTCCTCTCTCGCGCTCTTTCACTCGAATTGTTTGTTTAAGACAATGACTTTTTTTTTTCATTTTCAGAAAGTGTATGAATGTATGTCTAATCATGAGATGACGACGACAAGCAAGTATGGTGAAAGAAGCAATACCTTGTTTGCATATTCACCAAACGAGCCATATGTAAACTTTCGATCGATCGAGTGTGCATTATGTTAGATATATGATTTTGACAATGAAATTTCTTTCACAAATATTGTTCTTGTAAAAAGAATGAATAAAACATTGTGAGATCTACTAAATAAAATCGAGATAATCATTTATTTAGAATTTCATGCATTCTAAGACTTTATTAACTACTCTGTATAAATTCATACAAGAAGAAAATACAAGTCAATGTCAAATAAATTAATAGACATTTATTTTGCAGTTGCGAAAAACAAAAATCATCTGTAAAGAAAAGTTTGTTTTTTGTTTAATAGGCAATATGGATGATTTTTAGTTTCGTAAAAATAAAAATTATATTGGCTTATGTGAAGTAGATAGAATGACTAAACACTTGAAAATAATTAGTTTTTTTGATTGCTTTTCGTTCTTTGTCGAAAAATATCAAGTATTTGATTGTATAGAATAAAGCAAAAAATAAATTATTTGAAACAAAAAAAAAAAGATTATTCATTGCTTGCCATGGTGATTCTAGATCAACGTGCGACATCTTTAATTAAAAAAAAGATTTCAATGTAAAAATCGCGACTTTTAATTTATTTGAAATAAAATAATTTCTTTTCTCTGTTCTAAATCATAATTCAATTTTTGGAGTACAAAAATTAAACAATTGGTTACATTATTTAACGTATTACATGAACTCTCTTTGTCAGTTAAAATGTAGACGGAATGCATTGTTTATGTTTCTAATCGCTACTATCAACGTGAATAATATTCACTGTAGCGCTAGGGATAGTCTGTGACTTATCTTGACCTGTCATTGTTCGTTCAATCAAAGCAATTCATTCTTCTCCACATATCTTTTATTCCTGCGTTAAACAAAGATCTTTTTCTTCTATTTATCTATTTTATCTTTGATGTTTTCACTTCATTTAGACTAGTATTTCTAATCTAACGAGCGTATCGATATACAAGTAGAGAAAATAAGAATGGCTCTTACTGATCAACAATTACGACAAGAGTTAATAAGTTATGGTGAAAATGTTCCACCAATAACTCAACGTAATCGTGAACAACTTCGTGCTCGCCTTGAAATTCTTCGATCAGATCCACGAACACGTACTCCTGCTTCACCATCACGTTCTCAAGCTGCTGCTTCACCATTGCGATCTCAAGCTGCTGCTTCTCCATCGCGTACAACACGCTCTACTGTTGCTGCTGCTTCTGCTTCACCATCACGACCTCAGGCTGCTGCTTCACCATCACGACCTCAGGCTACTGCTTCTCCATCACGAGCAACACGTGCTACTGCTTCTCCATCACGTACAACACGTGCTGCGGCTTCACCAAGTTCACTCGCTACGAGTTCACCATCACGTACACGTTCAAGTGCAATAACTACCACAGTAGCATCACGTCCATCAACTCGATCACAACAACCATCAAATCTTATTGAATTAAGCGATTCAGAAACAGAGTCATCGTCAACTGGTGTTCTGATTTCAAGATCACTTCGTACTGGGCAAACAACACCTAATGTTCAAACACGTTCAATTGCATTACGTGGTCAAAACGATTCACCAACTACAATACCATTAATAAGTGATATACCAGGTTCAGGAAACATAACTGATGATGTTGAACAATCGAGTATGTTGTTCTTTAATATTTTTCATATTTGTAATAAATTCGTTTAGTTGCTCGTCATCGTCGTGAAATAAAACAATTGCTTGATTCAGCACGTGATCGAAATCGTGCAACTAATACAAGTATTTCTTCTTTACATTCGACCGAACATCAGGAACAAATAGGAACACCAATTCGTCCAACTTCAAAATCACGTACACATCGAGAACCATTAAAAGACGATGATGATGATAATGGTAAAGTTAAAGGATCACCAAAATCTGAGAACAATGAACAGAAAAAGTCACCATCGTTTAAACATATACGAAAACCAATTCAATCGTTTTGGGGAAAAAAATCAGATCTAATAAAAAGTGCTTTAAAAATAGTACTTGTTAGTTCTGTTATTATTGTTGGAGCTAGTTTTTTATTCCAACATTATGGTGAATTTTTTCCACAAACTAAAAGTAAATTGATTTATAGTTCAATTGAAATTTTAAAAATTATGATTTCTTTTAGGCGTAAATTGTACGGTTGAGAATGTAGTAAGTAGTTTAATTTGTTTACGTTTTTGTATTTGATTGTTTTTGTGCACGTTAGACTACGTGTGAAGATATGAAACGAGTGATTGCTGCAGTACGAAAACAATTACAAATTCGAACTGGTATGAATAAAGAAAAAAAAAAAAACAACTTTTGACGTCAATCTTATTTTGTTCTATAGGTGAAGTCGATTGTGGTTTTCGTCCTAGAACTGATATTTTGGTCACAAGAGCTGAAATTGAAAGATATTTAAACGAAAAAGTAAAAAGAAATTTCTTTCCCTACATGAAAATGTAGTAAAATTAATATTTAGGGACTGAAATTCAATTTGGGTAATGAAGAACGATGGAATGCATTAGTTACCTATATTGTACATATGCCATTAGAAGATATATTGTAAGTTTGTCTTCAACATTTAGCTACTTATCTAATGAGTTGTTCCAAATGAGGTGCGCACAATTGAAAATTTTCATATGGATGAAAAGAACACATTAATTTGTCGAGAGAAAAGTAGTTGGAGCTTTTAAAGTTGAAGTCATATATACTTGACGATTTTTAAAGATTATTTCCTAATTCTTCGTTCAAAAATAAATTTTTACCATTTTTCAAATACTTTGTGAAAATGAAATATAATGAAAGCTCTAGGAAATGGTTTCTTTATGGACTAAAGGGATAAAATCTTTCAGTTAATGAAGGATTGTCTTCAAGCATCAAGTTCTGGCTGCGCGACTGGCTAAATAGCTTCTCGACCGAGGCAATTTTCATTTGATAAGTAATAGAAAAGTCTCGACTGGTTCGGTTCTTCGGGTCTTCATCCTCGAGATATCGAAATTTTACTTGGGCTTTGGTTTCACTCAGATTACGTAGAAAATTGACCTTTTGATCATATGAACAAAAATCGGCCTACATATTGAGAAGTTTGCAGTAGAAGGACGATTTTCCATGTGAGAACAACTTTTGGTTGAATAGTCCAGTAAAATTTTCGTTTCTCCACAATGAATACTCGATAAACCGAACAATTCTGGACATTTGTATTACTCATCAAGTTAGGATCGTTTCGATCGAAAAGCGATTTAATAGTTGTAAAGTTTCGCTAGTACGTCAATGTTTTAATTCAATTGTAAGCATTAAAGTGCTTAGAATGGTATATTACTTCTGTAGTATGTTTCGGTTGCTAAGAAAATCAAGTTTTTCGAAACTAGTTGCAAAATGCACTAAAATTAGGTAGTGTTTGACAGTTTTCATCGGAAAAGTTGACTTTCAAGCAAAATGCGTATGAGATTCGAAATCACTATAAAAAATCAGTGGCATTACATATGTTTTCATTGAGAATATTTTTCAACGAAATTTCCTCGGTACTCTTCTCAAGCTGAGGTTTTTGTAAATTTCACCTGTGGTGCATCCGATTGAAATTTTGGTGAAAAGTATTTTCTTATAAAATGTATACCATTCGATTCAATTTTTTATGCTGATTATGAATATCATATACATTTTACTTAGAACTGAAGTTCTGACGAAAATGGTGTGTGACTCGCTGATTATACATAGTAGCGGCGCCAGGATTTCAGTTCAGGGTGGGCTCTTCATGGGTTCAGCCCACCCTAACCTACACAAAGTGTTCTTTTTACATAGCTTTCAAAATCTCTCAGGGTGGGCTCGATGTAAATCAGGATGGGCTGAGCCCACCCTGGCCCACCGCTGGCGCCGCCACTAATTATACAGTGTTTTACTATTTTCGAAGAAACTAGTTTTTCCAGCAATGGAAAAAACTTTTCTCAGTACAAGAACACTTGATTCTTTTAGCGTCCAGAAGGATATCATTTCATACAGGTGTCATCGTATTACAGATTCAGATGGCATTTTGAAAACTGGTAAAACTTTATTTCTGAATGAAGAATCAGGAAGCAATCTATACAAACGTTCAGAACGAATAAAAAAGTACTCCTATATATATGAAATTTATTTACCTGTAGGTACTTCCGATTCTCAAAGTAGTTTCAATGTGTTCTTTTCATCCTCATTGAAGTTTTGAATTGAAAACACCTTACTGCTCGACAAATTACAGAAAATGCAGAAATTCATAGTTACTACAGAAAACTGAAAGACAAACAGAACCATAAATACTTTTGATTATTTTTCTATATAATCCCTCTTCTAAGTTTTATTGAACTAATTTATGGCTACTTAGAGTATGGAATGAATCAAATCATGAAACAAAAAATCTCGATGAAGCAAAAAAATTAAGTACACCAGAAGCAAAACGTGCATTAACATGTCGGGCTCGACAAGATATCAGTAAAACATTAAGAAATTTCCTTTTACTTATCTTAGGTAAATATTTTTTTTGTTCATTGATTTTATTTTTTTGGAACAAATTTCTTTTTAAGGATCAACTGGTCTTCTCACATTAGCTTGGTATCTTCAAAAAGAATCGAAAGCACATGTAGAAAATGAAAGAACGTATAATAATCTTCTTGAAAAAGCTACTAAATTACTTGAAGAACAATATGAAAAACATATACAAGACCCTAAAACTCAATCATGGGTTGCTATAAATGATATTCGGGAAAGACTTATTTCAAAAGAAGATCAGTGCGTATCTTTGTTTTCTGGTTTTTATTTCATTTTTTTTGTTTTACTGAATATTAATAGAGATCGATTAAAAAATATTTGGGAACGTGTTAAAAGTGAAATAACTAAACAAACATCACGAATTCGTTCTGAAACACAAGAAACGAATGGTGAAAATTTTGATGTTTGGCGATGGTTAAAATCATCACCAAAAAAGAATAAATCGGTATAAATAAAACAAAAAAAAACGAAAGTATTTATCATAGAAAATTAATTTTGTTTTCTTATGTGAACAGGAATCTATAACAAATTCAAATGAAGAAGCTAATACTTTTGTTACATCTAACGTAGGTCTTACTGAATGTCTGAAATTACGTAACTGCTTTCGTTCGGATAAGTATGTAATTTAGATTTCTTTTCTTTCAATTTTGAAAAACAAAATTGATTTTTTAGTTATGCTGATGATGAGGAAATCGATCATGCTATTGAAAGTATTCGAAGTCGATGTGCTAATATTAAACAAATTGAACATATTGGAATTCATTCGGTAAAAAAATAATCAAGTATTTGTTACATATTTTTTATATATTGATTTAGGTTTTTGTTTATTTAAAATTCTCATCAAAAGAAGCAGCTGGTCAAGCTTATGATTTGCTTAATAATTGGAAATATCAAGGTTAGTAACAGAAGTCAGATATTTTATTAAATAATGGATGATCGGAAAGTTCTTAGACAATGTATTTGTTCATTTATGATCTGCTAGAAAGTATTTCTGACGAGAAGTATTCTCTGGGTTTAAAGTTTCCGCGTTCGAACTGAGTTTATCACACTATTTTGAGTCTGATCGAATCGTACTTTGAAGATATGAGGTATTTTTTTCTGGCTTTTTTTTATTGAGTAATCAGCGCACCCCACGCGTTTGTCAGACAGCTAGAACCCCTTTCAAGGCCAAAATTTTCGAGCCCGGAACCGAGACAATGAGTAAATAGTTATGTGTTAGAACGACAATTTGTAATCTTTGCGAATATTGTCTTAGAAATTTTATGTCAGATACTGTTTGATAGTAGAGAAATAATGTTTAAAAAGGGTAAAAGATTAATTTGGGCAGAATGTGTAGACGGATGTTTTTGGTGAACATGTTTCTTAAAACATTTCAGATGAAGCAAAAGCTATAGATTGCAAGCAGAGTTTGAATAGAGACTTTGAGATGTTCTGCATATTTTTGTTGAAGAATAGAGAGAGACTTTCTGAAAGATCTGACAAGTTTGAGCGAACAGTTTTTTGTTTACTTTATGAATCAACATAAAGATCGTAACTCATAAGTTTTGTGTACTTTTTAGTGATTGAAAAGAGAAGAAAAACATCTTGTCTAAAAACTTTCTGATCATCCATTAATTCTTTTCTTTTTTTAAGATCGAACAATAAATGTTAAATATATTCGTCTTAATCGATATAATGAACATTTTCCTGACGCACGAGATGCTAGTCCAAAGAAATAAAAAGTCAACTATATATATATATTTTTTTTTTCTTTATTGTATTATTCAATTGTATATTTTTTCGTAGTATTCCTGTCAGATACACTTTACTTCTCTTATTCATTAATAATTTGTAAGCCGCTAAGCAGCTATACGTGTATTGTAATCTGAAATTATTACTAAAATGTGTCTTCCTTCCTGTATTTCTTTTTTTGTTGTTCGAACAAGCTTATATTGTAAAGAAAAAGATTATCGAAATGAATCATCTATACTGAATAAATACATATTCTAGATAAAAAGAAAATCTCAAGAGAATTTAAAATGAATAATAATCAGAACATGAAAGATTACGTTTCCTTTTTATAATAGGAATGCAATATTTATTGAAATTCAATTAGAATAAAAAAAGAAAGAACATAGCAGAACATCAGAATTTTTCCTTGTTGTGATTGGCATCATTAATATACAGAAAGCAACAGACTAATGACACATTTATTAATAGAAGAATTATGTTTAAACCAGAAATTCTTTTTTATATGAATATTTTTGGAATTCTAATCTGGAGTTTTACAGAAAATTCTTCTAGTTTTTGTATTAAAATTAATGATACACATTGTGACAATAAATAAAATGATTAATCTTGTTTGCCTAAACGTGCTTCTTTTCGACAGAAGAGTATTGAATTAGTATGATTCAAGTCATCAGGGACAAATTCAGAAGGTAAATCTGAATTTTTCTCAAATGTCATAACAGTCGGATTTTTAAATCCAGTCAAACTATGATATGGTATTGTATGAAAAATAATAAAAACTACGAATCTTACTTTGTAAATATACCGAAGCCTTTTGGATTCTAACTGATGTAATCAGCTGCCAAGGGGATCAATGTTGACACTAGAAAAATAAGGTGTAGGTGAAAAGAAGATCTACATTCAGTAAGTCAAAACAAATCCTATTCAGTGTATAAATAATCTTGGTGAATAATAGAGCTTATACATGGAATGAAAAGTTTGCATGGTTTATCTTCTACGGTTGCTAGACTGAAGAGAAAAAAAGACACTATTATTTCTTGGCTTATGTATGATCAATGTTATAATGTTAGTATTATGCGAAAAAACTAATGTCTTGTTCGTTGAAATTTTCGATATTTTTTTAGGAGTAGAAGGCGCTAAAGAATCTCATATGAAGTACTTTTATCCTTGAAATGCTAGAAGTGGTGATCCGATCTGTCATCAGACAGCCTCTGCTGCAAACCTATTCACTTTGCAACAACATTATGCTTATTTTTATTTCACTTTCTTCATGGCAAATGATATTTCAAAATTAGATATCTATACAAAGTTACCATGAGGTTATAAAAAGTTGGACACAATGGGGGAAGCCCCTCCTCTATCGAAAATTTCAACTGCTTTTTTTAAGTTATCAAGTCTATTAACAACTAATAATCGATAGAAATCGTGTCTTGAATGCGCTCGCTCATCATTGTATATGATGTCAATAATTCGATCTAATAAAATAAAAGAGTGTACTAAAAATAAACGATTTTATCGTTGTCAGTAACAATAAAGTTAATTCAATATTTGATAAATCATTAAATATATATCATGAATATCAAATACAATCTTCTTTCTTTTTGTTAAGATTATAAAAAAAAAAATATCTACGAGCTTTTGATATATATCTATCCAAGCATGGTCTGATAAAAATACGATCAAAGGTACACTTCAACTTAATATATATGTTTGATCCATCAAAAAAAGAAGACAGCAGTACTTCAAAACAAAATTGATAACATCAAACAATCATAAGTTTAGTAACGAAAACTATAAAAAAAAAAGCCTATTTTAATTTCATTTTGTAGACTAAACATCTAATTTTCATAATGTGCTTTATTTATTTTTTCTGCTTTTCTATTTTTGAGGTCTTAATTTTAGTTAAATTTTTTACTTGTAAGAAAAATAAAACAAAATTCTTTTTCTTATAACTTAATTTTTCGAGTTAATATTATCCTACAATAGTTTGATAATAATAATAATAATCAAAAGTTGTTTTCTTTTATTTGACTGTAATACATTTACTATAATTTATTGCAATGAAAGAAAAAAAAGCCCAGACAGCAAGAAACTGATAAGAAATCAATGTGCACATATAATAGAATGATTTAAACAAATTTGCTTTTTTTTATATTTTGTTTCTTTCTTCATATACTTTTTTTCTGCTTGTCCATGATCTTACCGACATATGTATATATATATGCATATACAATTGTTCTGTGAGTAGTGTATATGTTCTCGCACACGCCTATGAATAACATGTAACATTTGTTGTTGAAACCTCAGAAGAGAAAAACGACGAAACTACAAGCACTTGGACATAAAAATGAACTCTTCTCTTTCGTCCGTTCTTTTCTTTTTCCTATTCTCTCTAATCCATCTATGTACGTGAGAGAAGATGTTATAAAACGATGAAGAATAAACGAACGAGTATGAAACCTTTCATATTCGAACGGTACCACCATTAACATATATACACCTACTGAGTATACGAGAGTTTTGTTCTCGTCATCACTATTCTTTTCTTTCTTCTTTTTTTCATATAATTGAACGAAACTCGAGAGAGAACGACAATAGAAGTAAAACTGCTTCTATTACAGTTGTTATTTTACTCTGTTAAGATACAACGGGTGGTCTCTTATATATTTGGTCTACTGATATTGTGTCGCATATCGAACAAACAATCAAAGAGAGAGAGAGAGAGAGAGAGAGAGAGAGGCATAGAGAGAAAAACTAGATAGACAAGAGAAAACACTGCTGGATTCTAAGAATGCCAATAGTTACAAAATGACGGGTCTCGGCACAGACTTGCTGTCATTTCTTAGATGCCTATCAAATAAAGTCAAGTCATAGTTAGAAGAGCGATACAGAAAAACTAGGTAAGTTGAATGTCACGTCAAAACAAATTCATAAAAGTAGAATAGGATTACGCTTTGTTAGAACTTGTTTTTATATTAAATTCTAATAGAAATACAAATTATAAAAAATTGAAAGATTTTCCATGCATAATCAATGTCTTTTTTTAATGAGATCTTTTTTTAGAAATGGCAGGATAATAAAGAAAGAATTTCACCGATTTTGTCAGCTTCTTTCAATTTTATGTGTCTTTCTTTCTTCTTTCTTTTTTATTCTATTTTAATATGTAGATAACATTATTATATTAATGTAAATGATTGTATGCAAAAAAAAATATATACCTAAATTTCTATAATTAAAGAATATTATAAGTTTGATCTGTCAATAAATAAATGTTTGATTCTTGATATAGAATACTTTCTCTTTGTATTTAAACGAAGCTTTTTTCAAATAAAAATTAAAAAAAAAAGAGAGATATTTTGTGTATTCAAAGAACATCGATTGAAGTTGATGTAATGGAATTTTGAGTCTGTCATCATTTTTTCCTCTTCTCTCTATTCTCTGTTCGATGAGCGCTCTCGTTCCCTATGCTTTCTTTCGTTCTCTCTCTCTCTATCCCTTTATATTCAATTTTTGCCATTGCTCTTTCATCATATGAAAAGAGAACAGAACACACGAGACAGTTTCAACTCTTATTCATTCTGTCTTTATTACTACTTTTGCTGATAGTGAACATTCTCTTGTCTACAACGTCTGAGACAAAAGAGAAGATAATCTTTCATCATTATTACAGGTCGGAAAGCATTTATCAAGTAATGACGAGTTCGAATAAAGCTCGTCGCTATTTACAACATCATAAGCAACACTATACAGAATCACATAATAGTCATCAGTCAGCTGCTGAATTATTAGTTATCGATCCAACATTAGCTGTCACCACTATGCGAAAATTTCGAGGTAAAATTCAACAACAACAATTGTCAACAACAGTATCCATACCACAAATTTGTGTAGATGACGATGATGATAATGACAATAATAATAGATCTAATGATGATGATAATGGACACGTGGCTATTCTTGATGAATTTGATGAAGTTTTAGAAAATGAATTAAAACGTACATCTGTTTTACGTACATCATCACTTAAACAAAAAGAGTCAAATAATCAAATTGGAATACCTATTAATCAACAACGAAGTTTTTCATTTGCACTTGGCTCATCAACAAATTTAGATGGAAAAAAACATAATGATAATGATGATGAAGAAGAAGATGAATTCGATAATGATAATCATGATGAAGTAGTGAATAGATCATCAATTAAATCCACAAAACTACCAACAACTATTAAATCAAGTCTATCAAAAGAGACATTTTCACGTCTACTACATTCTTTTGCTTTTCGCTCGGGGAATCATTCAACATCGAAAATAACAATGACATCAGCAGATTCTCAGACGCAACAACAACAACGTCCATGTTTAGCTTGTCAAAATCATCCTAATTTAGATTTACTTCCTAAATATAAAAAACGTCCATCAATATTTGGTGTTCTTGTTTCAAAACTTAATACCAATATAACAACAAATGAACATAATTATGATCGTTGTCCTGTATGCAAACGACGTTTATCGAAATCTATTTTTTATAATACAATTACCAATAATAATACTGATGATGATAATCAACAAATATCATCATCATCATCATCATCAACACAAAAATTTTCATTATCATCATTAGGAACATCAAAATTACTTCATGATCATGGACAAATATTATCAAGAACAAAAAGACGTCGAAGTTTACCATCATTATTTCAAAGTCTTTTTGACTTTGATCATCATGATAATAAACGTCGTTTAGATAATACACAAATACAACATCGTCCATCATTTTCATCTATATTGACTCATACTTTACTTGATAGTATTACTCGTGAACAACAACAACAACAGCAGCAGTCAATTGGTAGTGTTAAACAAACATCACCACTGTCATATTCATCTATATCACTAGCAGGATCTGATGATAGTAAAGAGAATAATTATGATAAATCATATAAACGACAATCAACTATTTATGATGATTCATCTCAACTAACCGAAAAGGTAAGTAAGTAAGTAAGTCGGCTAAGACATTCTTATCATTAGGAAAAAAAATTGTTTGCCCATAGCGGCACGCGTGCTTTTAACATCAACATATGTATACATAGAATAACGAAGGTCAAGTGTTAATACTCTTGGTATCAATAGAGAAAGTTTATTATTGTTTGACCCTGATACACACACGTATATACTGTCGTCGAGACAAAGATGATAATCAGCGCCGACACTATCGATTTGTTATTGTTAACTATATAATGACTGGCGTCTATAATTACAACTACTAGTGAGACTGAGAACAATCATGTCAATGACATTTTGAGTATTTAATCATATGAATAAAATATAGTCAATACTGATGGTCAAGTAAGAATGAATGAATGTATATTTGTGTGTGTATGGGTTTTTACCGTAATCGTGTCAGACGTTGCATCGTATTACATATACACTTAAGTATAGATGAGAATCAAGTTGATAGACGCTGACCTTTCTTTTCTTCTATTTCTTGGGCTATTCGATTGCTTGATAGCATGAACTGTCTGTCTATTCATACTGATGTTGATGATTAGCCTTTACAATACTATTCTGTCATACTTATTGATAATATTTGACTTTTCTTCTGTTATATGAGAACAGTCATATAAGTTCTAAGTATTGATGGTGATAGTGAAATTTATATTCAAGAATTCATTCTTTTTTCAACAAATACATGTTATAGACGACGACTATACTTGACCGTTTCTCTTTTCTCATTGAGACGATGTGAAGGTGCTTGCCATATCACTTTTCAGTTTGAGAGCGCATGAAACAAAAAAAGAATTTTTTTCATTTTTTATAAAAATATGCAAATTGAACTTCGATTTAAGATGCACTTGATAAACTATATTTTTTCCTTTTGCTTTCGTCATACTAACAAAAACACCAAAACACTTGACTCATTATCGTTTACTATCGATCGGTTATTTTGCTTCTTATTCTAAATACGATTGTCATATGACGATAACTTATTTTGCATGCAGACTATCATATGGCACGTCCGTCATTGGTATGGACGCTTAATTCAATCGTAATAACGGCAGCATTAGTAAAGATAGAACTGTCTGTAGGCATACATGTTAATACAGTATAAACGAAGAAATATATACGATTGCTAAGAATACAAATTTAGGCTCTTGTCTTTTTCTTTATTTTTTTTACATTTCCAAATCTAGAATTGATAATCTGCGTCATCTTATGTAAATTGTTGTCAATAAAAAAAAAGAAGTACCATGCTATTAATTAAATTCTCGGTCATGAAAATAAAATCGAAATTTTTGAATCAAAGTCTAATGGTCATATGGCTTCCATCTTTTTCTTGTATATTATTCTTATTTCTTGACTAGAAATGACGCACAACTGAGATACTGATTTACACATGGTAACAATCACTAACAGTAATCGAAGGGAGAGAAACAAATCGATAATATACTTGGAATAGCACTCAAAAAAGAAAGAGAAGAATGTCATTTGTGTCACCTGCCGAGAGTCTCATAGGCAAAAAGTTTTCTTATCTACATGACCTTGTCTACTAAGATCACTATTGCTTCGACATACAGTATGGTTATGTATTGTATACATTTTCTTTTGACTGTTTTCTAATGAATAGAAAATAGAATTTTCATTGAAAGAAAAATACTCAAATGATATACAATGTTTAGTGTTGTTTTAATTGAATTAGAAATGGAATGAAAACAAGAAATACGAAGAAAAAAATAATGATCTAGAAAGAAAAACATTTTGAAATGTTATGTTAAAAGAAATATTGATGACATTTTCTTTTTTTTTTTTTTCTTTTACAATCCTATAGTAATGAAATAGAATGTACAATGAGAGAAAGTATTTAAGAAGGGAGTTTATGACTTTTTTTGGTCTGCTTGGATAAGAAAAAGAATCTATGTAATTCTGTAGGCAGTTTGAAAGATGTTTGTTGTATCTCAGGCCTTTATGCCTTGTCTTATGCAGGTAGTAAAAATGTTTTTTAAGTACATATTTTCTTTAGTTTCATATTATTAATGCTTTTTATTTTTGTCAGCTCCAGGTCCGTATAGATTCAGATGGGAATGATGGAGAGAAAGAAGAATATGACCATGAAATTACTTCGGATAAAGGTAAAATGAGCTTAAAAAAATAAATGAATTGAAAATTTGGATTGTTGTTTTTAGACATTTCTACAGGTGAATTAAATGACTTAAACACTATGATTAGTAACGATTCATCAAATGAAAATAATAACCAACTTTTTTTGCATCCACCTGAGTAAGTTCTTTGGTTCCTTTTTTTTTCTTGTTAAAATTGACGTTTTCACACATTCGATGTGTGTCATTGGCAAATAGCGAATTTTCATTCCCCGATCGGTTTTTTTCTTCCAAAAAAAGAAAAAAAGAAAAGAGACACACATACAGGAGAAAAGAGACAATGGACGACTAGGATATTCGATATACACTGAATATTAGGCAGTATTTTGATGACGACGTGATAGTCAGAATTATGCTTGTGCGTTCGTCGTTTCGGGATACAATATCAAAAGTGAAAAAGCAATTTCAACAAGATGAAAATTCATCTAAAGATAAAATTCATTTAATTAAATATGATTCAATAGACAATATATTTATTGAAAATAATCAAAAATATTCTTCAAAACGAATTTACTATCCTAAAGATACAATATCTAATGGAAAATTAATATTAACACGACAATATTCACGTTATTCTTCAGGGTAAGATAATTATAATCTAACTAAACAGTTATTTATTTTGTTTTTTTGTCTCAAATAAAATCTATATTAAATTGAATTAAATATAATTGTTTACTTATCGGCATTGATATGACTGTGATAACGGATATGCAAAGAATTCATATTTTAATTAATCTCTACCTTCATTCCTCCGAGGTTTTTTCCTTCCTTTACTTTGTCGTCCACATCGACACTAAGCAAATAAGCTTTACTATTTGTATAACGATTGTTCACACCTCACATCATACGCTGACGATAAAAAAGAAAAAGTATTTTGAGAACATTGAAGAAAAGGAAAAAAAGAAGAGGGCTAGTATACATACACACACATATATGTGCATGAATTACCGTTGTGTCTGATTTTTTCAATCTGGTATAAAAGTTCAATATTGACATTGACCGTATTAATTGACTAAATATCCTATCTGTTAAATCTTATGCATGATTCAACAACGTTTATCGTAGATAATCGTCATGCATGCGTGACAGATATACAAATCCGAAGGTTGGCAAAATAATTTCTTTTTTTAGAAATTCATTTTTTTTGTCTTGTTCTTACAAAAATATTTTTTTTTGTTGTTCTAGGGAGAAGACACGAAATTTATTAGTAAATGTATTTCGAACTCGTCGATCAAATGTTGCTTTGGGATCAAATGAAGTACAATAGTTTTCTTTTTCTTTTTTACGTTTTTTTTTTCAAAATTTTCTTTTCTTCTTTGAAATAGACAAACATGGTTGGTAAACAATTTAGTGTTTCAGTGATTAATTTAGCAACATCGATTGGTTCAAATCGAATTAGTAATACTACACCAATAAATAATGAATCAGCACTTTTAAATCTTCTCGATCAACGAAAGCATGCTTTATCTGAAGAAAATTTACCATCAACAGTAAGTTAGATTATTAAATCAAGGATTTTTTTTAGTTGAAAAGACCAGATAAGTCGTATAAGAATTTCTTTTTCTTGTACATGAAACCTTCAGTTTGGTTTACTTTTATTCGGAGAGTTATTTATTTGATAATAGATGCTTATCGGGAAGGACAGATGACAGATATATGTATGTGTTGTTTGAGTAGACAAAAAATTGATAGAAACAAAAGAGGATTTCACTTGATGTGGTGGGAGATATTAATGCAAATTGAATATAGTCGATATGTGAGAGACATTTGACCTTGAGACTAATTGGCATTTTTGATGCCTTATTATATTTTCTCGTTTTTAGGATGGATCGTACATCTATTTTACTAATGTTAAGGGTCAAAATTTTAAAGAACGACTTAACTATTCCAGCACATCTGAAAATACGACATTAAGGTAAAAAAAAAAGAATAGTCGAAAAAAAAAACGAATTCTTTTTTCTTACATATTTATTTAGAGAAATCTTATTAAAATTATTCGAAAAACATCATCTCACTATAGAAACATGTAATATTTGTTTACGAAGTGCACCTAGTTTACCATTGTCCTTGGATCAACCAGTCAAACATCTCCTGTTAGATGATCTTGTCGTTACAGGTACATAAAAAAATCTCATGGTTTGATTATGTAATTTTTTTTTTCGTTTTTTTCCCCTTTCTTCCTAATTAACGCTAAAACCTCTTTTGTTTCTTCCTTTCTCTTCAAAATCACTTGGTGCATACTCTCGAAATGCCCATACACATTGTATGTGTATTATGCAATTTTGAAGAAAATCTTAATGCATCGTTGCTTCTGTCGCTCGTCGAAGCTTAAAACTTCTCTAGAAATTTAATCACCATGCCTATAAAACAAAAAACAAGAAAACTAAATTGAAAACAGAATACAGACTATTTTATTAGTCATATGTATAGGAAAACTGGTGAAGTACAAATAAAGAAAAATCAGTTCTTATCAATAATTTTGGTGTCGTCATTGTCACATTTACTGGTTGTTGATGTTATATAATTTCTTTTTTTCTCTCTATCAAATATATATATATATATATGTGTATGTATACGCGAAATCTCTTCTTCGACTAGTGATTGTCACCCTCCGGCGTACGTACTCTCATTTATTGCAAAAAAAAACTAAGCGAAGAGAAAAAGCATAAGAGATTGCATCGTTTATTCTTTGTCTTTAACTCTATTGTGAATGAATTGTCTATCAAAAAAAAAAAAGAAGAACAAGACGCAGAGAACATTCATCGTTACATCAATTCATTCGTTTGAATTGCGATGTCCAATGAAGGAATAGCATCAGCTGGGTCTCAACCACCTCTCGTATCACCTCTTCGACGTTTGTCTCTATGTCGACAATTATCTGATGTATTAAAATATCGTCGTAAATCATATTGTTCAAATAGTAATGATCATTTACCATATATTCCATCACCATCACCAACATCATCATCAACAACAACAACAAATTCAGCATCATCAACATTTACATTTGTTTGGAATTGTGCATTAACTGAAGTTGATTCTCCACCTGGACCATCATCAAATGAAGACTTACATATTTTACCTATTCAACATCAACAACGAACAAGAAAAAATGGTTTATCTGATGATCCAAATATTCAAAATACAAAAGAAATAACTGGATCAATGGTTGCTGCTTGTTTGCTTAAGCAAAAAAGCGTCAGCTGTGATGATATGGCTTTTTTATCATCTAGTGGTGACGAACAGACAATCTGTGCAAGTGGACCATCATCAGCTACATCTGTTGCAATATCCTATAAGCCAAAATGCAATGGTCTCTCTCTCTTTTTTTTTCTGTCTTTCTTCATCTATTCATAAAAAAAGACAAAACTTTTATATTCGTTTTTCTTTTTATTTATGATTATTCTTATGGCTTTTTTTTCTTTGATTGTCTATTTAGAGAAAGAGCATGGTTTACCATCATGTTCACGTATTAATAATCGAGCACTTGCTAAAACATCAGCTGGAAAAGAAAGAAATGAAAAACGAAATTCAACTGGTTCAGCAGTTTTAACAACAGTAAGTTATAACAAATTAACATCAATGTCATTTACATTAAATCTAATCGATCATAAGTAATGGACCTTTCTATAAACATTTGACAATTGTTATTTACTTCTTATAAATAGAATACAATCGAGTGAGGTGACAGAGCACCTGTTTGTCCTCGTTCTAATCAAGAAGCAAAAAAAAAACGCGACAAGAAAAATATCCTAAAGTACACTAATAATTGTATGCGATTGGTATCATATTGTTAGGCTTTCTTTTTTTTTTTTTTTTGTTTTGTTGGCTATACTACTACAGAAAAAAGAAATTCGACATTCTCATCATGGTATGCGGACGATAAAGAAAATTTCTAGTCTCAATTTTCATATGAGTATAAAACATCTTAAATATGATTTTTACTTTTATTATCAAGTGCATTAGGCAGAGAATGATGTTCTATGACTGCATACTCTCAATAAATGTACCTAAGTTGTCTATTTTATTTATTTTCTGATGTGTAGAAGCTTGATAATTAGTCTCATTTGCCACGTATAAACAGTTTGAGATAATAATAAACTTTCATAATAATATTTTTGATTTTGATTTAATGTATTCATTAGATGAATTAGATTTTCATCTTGCCATTAATTTAAATTATATCTATATATATTTGTTTTATCTATTGTTAGTTTTATTTTTATTATTCATCGTAATTATAAAGAAAGACCTAAGCGTCGTTAATGATTTTCATATGTTATTACTATCGAGCTCTGTTTGTTGTTTTCTTAGCAAATCAAAAAAAGACATTTCTCGCCTATATTTTTTTTTTTATATTTTTTTTTCTTAGACGACTAAATCAGCACCAGCTACATCGAAGCGTTTATCAACTCAATGCATGGTGCAAGATAATGATGATGTAATACCGATCAATATAACAAATAGTAATTATAATCAAGAATTAAAATCAACTAATTCACAACAGCATACAAGATCAGGCAAAACAACTCGTTCCGGTCTTTTTACTGGTAGCATCTTTACTCGAGTAAGAATATGTATATATATATCGACATATGCATGTGTCAGTTCGACCGCTTATTTTTATTACATACTGTATTTATATACAGAAAACAGAGGAAAGAAGATAAAGAATTTCTTCTTGATTATCTATTTCATTAGGAACATGATTTTCTATTTATTTCAAAATAGAACAAATCTTGCAAAATGAACGATTGATTGCGTGCATGAAAAAAAGAACATGTATATTGTAATAGTCTCATGAGATTTTTAAAACAACTGTAGAATTGATTTGCATGTTTACACATCAAGTTTAACTTGACATTTTAATCAATATTACTGAACCGTTACATGTTTGAAAAAATCATATATATATATGTATATAGAGGTACCTATAGTTTTTTATTTCATTTTTGGCATAAACCCAAAAGAAGAAAACAAAACGAAATATGAATCATTTTTCATTTTTAACTCGATTTGTTTAATATTAAACGAATGACAACAAGAAACTCTTATCAGTTATTAAACAGCAAAGAAAGTCATAGATTCTTTTCGGTGAAAAGTTTTGTTTTATATCTTTGTCGGGCTAAGTCTACGAAGACAAAAACAAAAATTCACACAAAATGGTTGATACACGTCATCATACATCTTTACCTAATTTTTATAAATTAAGAAAATCATCCACATCACCAATGTTAGCTTTTCGACGAATATTAAATTCTAGACATAATATATTTTATATACATGTAAGTGATCAATTTATCAATCAATCATATTTTGAATATAATTAATATCTACTAAAACCGAAGAAAATATTAGTTTATTTTGTATGGATAAGTATATTTGTGTGCATTTAAGTGAAGTAATATGAGTAACGGATATAAAAGGAAATGAACTTGTAGATTGAATTACTAGCTCGTTTGTTCTTTCTCGATAAATATGTGGTACTCCTTCATCCTCATCATCAATAAATATTCGACGTATGATGGGCTACTTTGGCAAAAACAAAAATTAATAGTCCTATCTACATCTATCTCATAATCAGAACAGTAAAAAGTAGAACGTTCGATATTTTCTTTCCATAAGGGAAACTAAGAAAACAACTAGAAATATATATATATATAGAGACAGAGAGAGAGGGAGGGAGGGAGGGAGAGAAGGAGTGTAGTACAGAAATACACAAGACGGATTTTCACGTCGTTCTATTAACTATTTCCTTCTCTCGCCCTCTCTCTTTTATTCCCTTTTCTTCTTTCTACTCTCCTTCTATCCTTTGTTATTTGACGATATCATTACGAGTCAACGCAATTGTCGCACAGCACGGGTCGTGTCAATAATGAATCGACGTTTATTGAAAGCGAATTCGATCACAACTTACGATACAGCTACCTTATGGCGTGCACTAGAAGCATCATCTGCCAATCAGCAAAATCAAACAGTTCATAAAGAAACTGCACGTCGTTGGCAACGTGCAGCAAGTCGTCTCTTAAGACAAAATACAATAAATTCAATAACATCTCAAACTGATAGTTTATCACGATCTTCTTCAGGAATAAGTCGTGGAACAGGATTTACAGGAGGTGGAGGAGAAGGAGGAAATGCATTGATTAACTCGGTATTAAATTATTTATTTTGTTCGAATTTTATTTTTATTTTTATCAATGAATACAAAATTATTTTATCGTTTTATTTTCTTTTCTTTTCTTCAGGATGGTAATGATTCTAATGAACGACCAGAAAGTAATTTAGCATTTGTTCGTCGTAAATGTGACGATTGGCTAATACATGGTTTACCAAAATTAGCTCAATTACAAAATTATCAAATTCAAATTGATGAACGAGATTTAAAAATCGAAAAAGAATGGCAACCATTTTTGAGCGAACAAGCAAGATCAGTAAGTCAGTCCCTGAACTCTTGTCATCTGTTCTATTGAACATCTATCTGCACTCTATTTATCTTTGTGTATGAATGACCCCCTCACAATAAGGAAGTGACGAAAACTTGTCTTATCTCATCGCTTTTTTCCTTTCTTTTTTTTTTTAACATATATACATATGTCATCGCCCGGTTCTTTTTCTTCTTCTTTAGCTCATGTCAGAATCGATCAAATTGCAACAAGAAGCTATCTATGAAATGCTTTCAACTGAAGTATCCTATATACGTCAGATTTTAACAATGACTGATATATTTATGACAAGTGTTATGATATTAAAATCATCTCAACGTGATGGTCTTTTAAATGATATTGATATGGATAAATTATTTTCAAATATACAAGATGTCCTTAATGCAAATTTATCATTTTGGAAAGATATATTATTACCAATTAAAATCAAACTTGAACAAACTGGCTGTGCAATGAATCCATCCGATCTTAAAGATGGTTTTATTAGAGTAAGTATCCAGGGTAATGTTCTATTACGTTTTTCTTTTTCTTTGATTTTCTTTAACATGTAAAAATGTCAATCAACAGAAAATTAAAGAAAAAAAAACGAGGAAAAAAACAGTAGTTATACAACAGAATGTCATATCTTATAGCCGTATTGTTGTTATTTAGTCTATAGCTATTAACCTACGCATATGT